CATAGCTTTTATTTACTAAAGTTATCACAATAAATGTATTAGATTTTTTTTTTAAAAAATTTAATTTATCCAATTTTTTAATAGAACTCAAAAAAAAATCAAAAATTGTATCTGTAATAATTTTAAAAAAATTGACCTATTAAATAAATAATATTATGTCTAATAAAATCGAAAATAAAATAAATTAAATATAATATATAAAATAAAACATAATAAAATAAAATTTTATCTTAATTTTTAAACTAATATTTCTATTCCAAATATTTATTTATTTATTTATAAAAAGGAGTGGGATTTAGTTAAACAAAAAATAAATAAAAAAATAAAAATTTAAAAGTAAAAATTAAAGTAGGTATCATTTATTATTTTTTAAAATGTTATGTTTAGATAAATCCAATTGTTTGTAATTGTTTACACAAAAAAAAAAAAAAAAAAAAATCTATTTGGTATATCAATAAGTAAATCATATCACTTAATTTTTGTTAACAAAAAAAAAGTATGATTTCATTCTATGAAAGATAACTTTTTTTTTAAAAAAAAAATTTTATTTCAAAATTGGAGGTTTACATGCTCAAATATATATACCCATTAATAAAACAAATCATATCAATAATTAAATAAAAAAATAATATAAAAATATTTTTTAATTTTTATTTTTTTATTTTTTTTAAAAATTTTTTTTTAACTTTTTTTTTTTTTTTTATTTTTTTATAATAAAAATATTTTTTTAAATTTTTTTTTCTTTTACGATTTTGTGTGCTTTCTCTCACTCAATATTACATAACTTTATATGTGTTGCAATAAAATTTAGAAATAAAATAATAACAAAGAAAAAAATAATAACATTATTGTTATTTTTTTCCTTTTATTTTCGTTATTTTATTATTAAAAAACTCCATCAAAAACAAAAAAAATTACACACAATAATACAAAATAAAATATTTAAAATAACAAACCAACAAATTTAAAGAAAAATATATTGTTTTTTAAAAAAGTATTTAAATTTTACTTTTCTTTATTATTTTTATAATTATTTTATTTTATTTTTCTTAATAAAGGAAAAACTAAATTTGTTATTTATAAAAAAATATGTATTAATTAAAATTTTAATTAAAAAAAAAAAAAAAAAAACTTTATTATATTTAGGTAGTTAGGAATAACCCAGTAATATTAAATAGTAGTAGTAGTATAATATATAGAAGAAAACAAGATTAGTAAATATAGTAATAATTAATCATAGAGTGAGAGAGAATTTTAATAAAGTCAAATTCCTCTTCCTTTACACAAAACCAGCAGCAGCAGCAGCAGCAACAGCAACAACCCTTTATTAAAGAGTTTTTTAAAAATTTTATTTTGGCTATATAGCATTTCTACCTCCTTATTTTACCTGTTATAACCGTAGGTTAAGTAGGAGGATCTTGATGGAAGGACCTTTACGTATTAATAATCCCAAAAACAACAAATCAAATAATACAAGTTTAGATAATAATATTATCAATAATAGTAGTAATAATAGTACGACAACTGATAATATAAATCTAAACAATAGTATCAACAACAATAATAGTAATAGTGAAAACAATAGCAATATTGTTAATAATAATAATAAAAATGATAACTCATCAACAAAAGAAAATAAAATTAATGGCAACACAGAGGAGGATGAAGATGATATACACAGCAAAAGAAGTCAAAACACCACCGGGGGTGGAGTTTATACCATGGATACTTCGTTGACAGGAGATTCACACTACAAAAAAAGAAAGAATATTGAAGACGAAAATGAGGTTGCCCCATATCATCCTCATAAAAGAGCCTCATTTAGTATAAGTAAGTCATCAGAAATAAAATTTATTTATGCAAAAAAAAAAGCTAAATATTAATATGTTTTTTTTTTTAATTTTAATTAAGATATCTCTCCAACTCAATTACAAAACGATTCAAATTTAAATATTTTTAACTCAAACAATGCCATTAACAATAATAATAACAACAATTATAATAATATTTTACAAACAACCACAACATCATCATCATCAACAGATAGCAATATTCATTCACCAACACAACAATTACAACAGCAATTACAACAACATGAAAATCAACAACAACAACCAGAAGAAATAGAAGAAATAAATAGAGAAAGACAAGAAAGAGATAAAATGTTACACGAAGAAGTCGATCTTGATAGCTATAACAACTATAATAATTATAAATATGGAGACGGTGAGGAAGGTGAAAACTATGAAACATTAATCCATCACCACAATCGTTCAGCTCATTCCGATGAAACCACCAACAACGAATCAGGCTCACCAAATAGAAATAAAATGTTGGCTGATGAAGATTTAATTAATCAAGACGATAATAATAACACCGATGGCGATGAGCCATATCACCAAAAAGAAGAAGAAGAAGAAGAGGATAAGAATGCAAACCAAGACTCTGATTACCATGAACATCAAAGTACCGATGACGATCATATGAAGTCTGATGGTGAGAAAGAACCAGAATCAGCAAGAAACTCTGGTGAGCAATTAAAAATGGGTCATAAAGATGAATCAACTGTTTCAACTCCACAACATGCCTATAACAATGAAGACGATGAGGATGACGAAGAAGAATATGACGTACCACTTAGAATTCAACAGGTCTCTAACAATAAACTTCCCAAACTTAGTCTTAGTAACTGTTGGTTAAAAGTTATACCAACTGATGTATGGTCACTTTTAGAAATTCGTGATTTGGATCTTTCAGCCAACCAACTAAAGAAAATTTCCAAATCAATTGGCCAATTGGTCCATTTAAAGCGTCTTCGTTTGAACCACAATCAGTTAACAGCACTTCCAAAAGAACTCTATTCATTACCAAGACTAACAACACTTTATTTAAATAATAATAATTTCAAAGTGGTTCCAAAAGAAATTAATCGTTTAACAAGTTTAAAAACTTTAGATCTTAGTTTTAATCAAATTACCGACATTTCACCACAATCCAATATCAATTTAATGACCAATCTTGTTGAACTTCGTTTACGTTACAATCAACTTTCAACTTTACCATCAAATATGTTGGAAGCCACCCATCTTCAAGTACTATGGCTAGAAGGTAATCGTTTGCCATTAAATAAAGCCATTCTTAAGAAATCACCATCAGAAATTCTTTCTTTCCTTCGCGAATATAAACCACCAAATAAAAAAGCCAACGAAAAATCAATTAAAGGTATCCATAATGTTTCTGCAGCATTGCCACCAATTGATACAGCCTCGACTATAGCAGTAGCTCAAGCATTTGCACAAAAAGAAATGGATATCAAAAAAAGAAAGAAAGAAAATTTCGACGACATTAAAAAACAACATATCGAAACAGAATTAAAATTAAAACAGTTAGAGGAGGAACTTCAAATAGCGAACGCCAAAGCCACTAAATTTGAGGAAGAGGCTTCATTTTTACAACAACATTTCAATAATCCAGCCGCTCCTCAAGGTGGAGGTAACACCCAACATTTAAATTTACCTCAAATACTTTTAAACCAACCTCATTTAGGTTGGGATCATCAACCAAATGGTGGTTCACCAAACATACCCACACCTCCAGCAAGTACCTCACCTGTATTAACCGGTCAACAGGTTGTTAATGGTATTTCGCAAATCTCATTACTTTCACCCACAAACAACCCACCCTCACCAATTTCTGTATTTAATCAACAGCCACCTTTACCAACCCAAACCTTACAACAACAAAACCAAAATGGTTCAAACTCACCACCACCACAACAAAAACAACAACAACAACATCAATTAAATAACTCTCAACAACATCTACCAATTGTACAAATAAATCAAAATAATAATAATAACAATAATTTAAAAGATAATTTCCCAATACCGACTCCTCCAACTAAAGTTATTGAACCCGAAAAACCATTTGAGTGGGAAGTTCCACTTTCTGAAATTGTTATTGGCGCAAGAATTGGCAGAGGAGGTTATGGCCAAGTATTTAGAGGCTCATGGAGAGGTACCGAAGTTGCAGTTAAAATGCTTTTCAACGATAATGTAAATGCCAAATTAATTAGCGATTTAAGAAAAGAAGTAGACTTACTATGTAAATTAAGACATCCAAACATTGTTTTATTTATGGGTGCATGTACAGAACCAGTTTCACCATGTATTGTAACAGAATACTTATCGCGTGGTAGTTTAGCAAATATTTTACTAGACGAAAACATCGAAATGGATTGGGGCTTACGTTTACAATTGGGTTTTGATTGCGCTCGTGGTATGACCTATTTACATTCTAGAAATCCAATTATCATTCACAGAGATTTAAAAACCGACAACTTATTGGTCGATGATAGTTGGCAAGTTAAAGTAGCTGATTTTGGTCTCGCAACTGTTAAATCCCATACATTTGCCAAAACAATGTGTGGTACAACTGGTTGGGTTGCTCCAGAGGTATTAGCAGAAGAAGGTTACACAGAAAAGGCTGATGTTTATTCGTATGCCATTGTTTTATGGGAACTTTTAACTAGATTAATACCCTATGCCGGTAAGAACACAATGCAAGTCGTTAGATCTATCGATCGTGGTGAAAGATTACCAATGCCTTCATGGTGTCCACCCAAATATGCAACACTTATTAATAGATGCTGGGAGACCGATCCACAAAATAGACCATCTTTCCCAGAGATTTTACCATTGATGGAAGAGATGATTTCAGAATTTCAAAGTGAGAAAAGAGATGCCATTTCTCAAGGTAGACCAATTCCTTATGTTGGCCCTCCAGAAAAGAACCCAGCAATTCTTCATCACCAACAAAATAAACTTTTAGAACAGCAATTGATCTTACAGCAACAACAAGCTCAACAACAACAACAGCAACTACAACAATTACAACAACAATTAGAGCAACAACAAAAAATTCAACAACAATTACAACAACAAATTGTAAATCCAAATAACCCAAATAATTTTTATTTCCAACAGCAATTACAACAACAACAACACTTTCAAAATCAATTACAACAGCACCAGCAACATATATTACAGCAACAGCAATTTCAACAACTTCAACAACAACAACAGCCATATTTATATCAACAACCATCTCAAATAGTAAACAATAACAACTCATTATCTCCTGCCGCAACAAACACAAATAATAATGAAGATCAAATGAAAATAAGTGATAAAAATTTAAAAAAAAAAATAGATGGCACAACTCAAGATAATTCAAACAATAAAAATTTTTATAAGTCATCAATACCATGAACAATTTAAAAATAAAATAGTATATATTTATATTAATTTAAAAAAAAAAAAAAAAAACAATTTACCAATCGAGTATTCAACACCTTTTAAAAAATACTTTTTATTTATTATATTATTTATAATTTAAATAAAAAAAAAAAATTCAAATTTACATAAATCTATAAATAAATCTAATAATTCCTTAATATCAAATCAAATGTTTAAAAACATATAAAAATTATAATAAATAATAAATTTTGTAATAGATTTAAAATAATAACATTTTACAAACTTTTCAAAATATTCTTTAAAACACACGATCATTTAATTATTATAATAAAGAATAGATACAAAAAAAAAAAATTTATATCTATCCCTAATTGTATATATATATTTTTTATTTATTTCCTTTTTATTATAATAAAAAATAATTCATATAATATATAATATTTTGATAACATTTAAAATTTTGAAAAAAATCGAATTTCGATTTGTAGTATATTGCAAAAATCTTGCTTTTTTATTATTCAGAGTATTGCTGATTCAAATAATAGATTGTAAATACATTAAATATCTATTATATTAATATAATACACACAAAAAAAAAAAATTTGATTTCATATTAATTTAAGTAAAAATATAATAAATATTCTTTAGGGAAAAAGAATGTGTGTTGGTGTGTGTAATTAAAATTATTTTATTTTTTTAGGGGTGAATAAAGATGTAAGGTATTTAAACATCATTTTAGCACCATTTAAATGTCTATTGGATGGATACAAAAGTTATCAACATTATATTATAATAACAGAAAATAATAAAAAATAAAAAAAAAATAAAATAAAATAAAAGAAAAAAATAAAAAAAAAAATTGAAAATGAAAACATTATTAATTAAAATATTTTTTTAAAAATAATAATAATATAACTATATTTAATCTATATCTTTTTTTTTTTTTCTCCAATCATGATTTACTAATTTTAATGTAATCTAATACCCATTTTTCCTTTGTATATTAAATCCATTATATTTTGTATAACTTTAAATTAGATATGTTTAAAGCCTATTTCTTTACATTTTTTTTTTAAATTTATTTAAAAAAAAACAGTAATTTCTTTTTTTTTTTTAATTCATTTAAATAAAGTTTTGTTTTTGTTGTTTCCATAATTTTCTTTTTATTTTGCCATTAATATATTTGTTTAATTAAATAGTTTATATGTCAGTTACTTTTTTTAATTTTTTTTTTTTTTTTTTTTTTTTTTTTTAATTTTTTTTTTATTATATTATTAAAACGAAAAAGTAACTCAGATATTTACCTTATTTATTAGTAAATGGGTTTTAAAAAAACAAAAAAAAAAAAAAAAAAGAGATCTCCAATAATAAATAAATACTATTCAACCTTATTATTGTTATAATAATCGATATATGATGCGGTTGGGGCCAATTTTTTGATATCATATCAATCCAACCCTATTAACAACCATAAAATTTTTAATTTATATTTTTTTTTTTTATTTTTTTTTTTTTTGCAAATTAGATTTTTTCTTTTTTATTTTTTAAAAAATAATACTTATCATTCAATCTCACTCCTATCAACCTTACAAGAAATATTTATTTATTAAAAATTATTTTTTACTCTTTTATAATTTTTTATTATTTTTTTTAAAAATAAATATAATATAGTGTATGTACGCATTTGGTAACTCAGTTTTTTGTATATTAGCGCAAAGTGTAATCAAAATAGCCTAACACCATATAACAACATCAAACCACAACAATTAAATAGAATATAACTTCAACACACATAAATATATAAACCACATTCATTCTATTCTATTCTTTAAGATCTTTTCAATTATAAGATCTCCATTTTAAAAAAATTAAGTGGTAAAATACACAAATATTTGCATCATTTAATTTATTAATTCAATAATTAAACAAAAAAAAATTAAAAATTAAAAATTAACAATTAAAAAGGTATATACCCTGATAACAATTATAATAATTATTGTTTCTTTTTTTAAAATAAATAATTTTTTTTTGTTATTATTATTTTAAAACCACTCATCAGTTTCAATAAAAAAATTATTTTAAAAAAAAAGAATCTCTGATTTTTTTTTTTTTTTTTTATTTTTATTATTGGGTGTTTGGATATCCAAAAAAAAAAAAAAAAAAAGCATAATATCAAATCAATTATCTATTTTCTTTTATAATTCACACACAACAAAATAATGGTATAAAAGTCGTTATCACCTCCACTACCCTTTTTATTATAATAATAAACACAAATAGACTATTAAAAAAAAAAAAAAATTCAAAAAAAATAAAATTTTAAAACATTTTTTTTTTATTTTTTTTTAATTTTTTTTTTTTTTAATTTTTATTTATTTTTTTTTAATTTTTTTTTTAATTTTTTTTCATCACTCCAAGAGAAATCTTTTTTATTTATTTTTTTTTTTTATAATCAAATCAATAAACAATCAAAAAAAAGGAAGGAAATAAAATATTAAATTAAAATTTATTGTAAGTGTGTGTTTTTTTGTTTTTAAAATAATTTTATGATTTCTCTTATTTATTTTTATTTATTTTTTTCGATTACACGATTACATACACACAACCAACAACATATCTTTATTATTATAATAATTTATTAACTATATGTTGAAATTTTATTATATTAATAAATTATTAATAAAAATTAATATCTAATCTTTTTTTTTTTTTTTTTTTTTTTAAAAAAATAATTATAAATAACAAAATAATAAATAATATAATTAAATAACATATTATATAAATAAATATATAAAACATTATACGAATTTCTACTAAAATATTTTCTATTTTTTTTTCTTCCCCCTTTATAAAACACACAATTTTTATTTTTTTGTTTTTTTTTTGTTTTTTTTTTATTATTTTTTTTTTTTTCATATTTAATATATTATATCAATAATTAATTTTTAAACCAATAAAAAAAAATAACGATTACATTTAAAAAATAATTTTAATTTCATAATTTTCAATAACATTTAAACTACTCATATAACTCTTTATTATAAATTATAAAAAAAATAATTATATATTATAAACAACAACACCAACACACACCAACACACACCAACTTTCTTTCACACAAAATATTATAAACAAACACAAAAAAAAAAAAAATATATTTTATTTATTTTTTATTTTAAATTTATTTAATTATATTTTATAATATTATATTATTTTTTAAAATTATTTTTTTAATTATTTATTATAAAATTTTAGTTACATAATAATAATAATTTTTTATTTTAATTTTTTATTTATTTTTATACCACATTTTAATTTTTAAAATATCAACTAAAATTTTAATTACAAATTTAAATACATATATATTTTAAAAAATTCATCCACAAAATAATAGTGTTACTTTAATAATTATTAAGAAAAAAGACATCACCTAGTTAGTAGAATAATAGTAATAACCACTCCCCTATAGGAATTATATTAAAATACAATGTCATCATCATTTCTTCTTTACTCAGGAAATGGTTTACAAAACCAACCATTACCTTTTGCACCAAAAGATTTAATCAACAATAGCAATAATGGCTATTTGTCCGTCTCCTCCTCAATCAATCCCTTATCATTATCATTATCATCCAACTCCAATTTCTCAACTCCATTAAATACTAGTAATAATAATAGTTTTTCTAATAGTCCATTAAGCACTAGTACTGGCATCAACAATTGTAATAATAACAACAACAACAACAACAATATCGAATTGATCGATATTGAGCAATCATTAAAACATTGTGGTTGTCGTAACGCAAAGGAGTTAATTCAATTAATTCGTTCCGATGCTATTGAAAATTTAGAAGTTTCATGGCCAGATGATATGGGTTTATGGTATATGAATACCATTAAATCACACGAAGTTAGTCTTCAAAATCTTGTCGAGGGTGTCAAAGTTGGACCACATTTACTCTTATTAGATCCAACCTCAGCTCGTTATGATCTTTCAAAGAAACAAAAAACCATTGTAGTTAGATCAACAAACATCAACGCACAATCAAACAACCTTTCATCAGAAGATGACGATTGCTATGAGGACGACGAAATTGGTGAAGATGGCGAAGTAGTTAGATCACCACAATCCAAATTCTCACTTCTTTTAGACGAAAGCGAAAAATTCAGAAAGAACTTTAAGAAATCATCAAGATCAGCTTTCAAGAAAAAGAACAGTGCTCAGTACACTGGCGGAGTAGATCAACAACAACCAAGTAGTTATTATGGTGGTGACTTTGCTCCTAATACTCCTCCATCGGTAGGACCAACAAAATTGGGAAAAAGAAGTTGGGGAAGCAATGTCAATCAATCTTCACAACAACCCTCACAACCTTCACAACAACAAAATGGTGTTCAACCCGATGAAGATTTAGATGCAAGTTGGCTTGAGGAAATTATTTCAAAACGTAATAGACAAACCCCTGAAGTTGTTCCAGATACATCCAATTATCGTAGTCCTTCCCCGTCATTAGGCAGTTCATGTGGTTCTTCTAGTCCTGGACTTGGTGATGAATCACCAAACAGTGTCGCTGGTGGTGGTTCAAGTGTTAATACCTCTACAAGTAGTTTATGTCCGCCTGGTGCCACTATCGACTCGGCCGAAAGAGCAATTTTAGAGGGTCAAATTCACTTACCACCATTATTAAGACCAAGGCAATATCACGCATGTAAAACTCCAAAAGAAGACAGACCACAAAAAAGAAGAAAGAACCATACTTCGTTATTCTGTCGTCATTGCGGAACCACCGATACTCCAGAATGGAGAAGAGGGCCAGATGGCAGAAAATCACTCTGTAACGCATGTGGACTTCATTATTCAAAATTAGTAAAACGTGAACACATGGCCGTTCCACAAATGTCTAGAACCTTTGAATTATCTGAAATTTTAAACCCAATTGATAACTAAATATTTAGTTGGTAATTAATTTCAAATAAATCCTTATTAATCACAAAAAAAAAAAAAAAAAAAATTATCTATTTATCAAAAAAATGTGTTTTTTTTTCATCAACATCAATCTAATCACATTTTTATTTATAACCAATCAAATTATTTATCAATTATATTTTCATTAAAGAATGTGATAATTATTTTTTCAAGTAACAATAATTAAATAGAACTCAAACATTCACAAAAAAAAAAATAATAAAAAAAAAAAAAAAAAAATTAAAATGGAATAATACAATCAATAATTATTATTTCATCATGTATTTTTAAAAATAATTTATTTATTTATTTTCTATTTTTTTTTTTTTTTTTTCCACGCCTATTGATTTCGACACATAAACACAAAATAACCACATCCGCACTTAAAAAAAAAAAAAATTTTGGAATGCGAAATAAACAATCGCACAATCGTTGTTCCCAAGATATTTTGGTAGTTTCAGAGGGTTACAGTTTTAGTTTTTTTTTCTTTTTTTTTTTTATTTTTTTTTTAAAAAATAAAAAATAAAAAAAAGGAAAAAAAAGAAAAATATTTATATTTTTCTTCCTGGCAGCTTTTTTCAAGCGACCATAGGAAAAAAAAAAAAAAGATTTTTTTGATAAAAAAATTTTATTTTTTCTTTTTTTTTTTTATTTAATTTTTTATTTTTTTTTTTTGGTGGCGAAATTTAGTTTCTTTTTTATTATCATAATAATCATAATTTAATTTATAATATATATATTTTTTTTTTTTTTGTAATAATTGATTGTTATAATAAATTATATAATTAAAAGAAAAAAAAAAAATGACAAAATTAGTATTATTCTTTTTATTAAGTTTAATCGCCACTATTTTTTCAACTCCATTAGATGACTATGTTAATGCTCCTGATGCAAGGTAAATTTTTTGATAACTTTTTTTATTATAATAATAAGTAATAAAAAATAAATAGTAAATAAGCAATAAATAAATAAAAAAATCCAAATTTTATTTTATAATAAATTAAACCTTGGTGTGATATTGTCAATTATCTTTTTTTTTTTTTTTTTTGCTAGGTATTCTCTTTCTTTATAAAAATTGAAAGATTGATTACCTAGCGAAGAAAAAAAAAAAAAAGATTATTGATAATATTTAAATTTATTTGAAATAAATAAAAATTATAATTTATTATTGTTTTATATTATCATTCACTGTGTAAACTTTATACTAATTTTTTATATTATCTTTTCAGTTATAAATGGACTTTAAATAATACTCTTAAATACGAAACCTTCACCGGTTATATTATTGAATTAAGTAGGTGTTTTTTTTCTTTATTTTTTCTATTTTTTTTTTATTGGTAACTAATTCATTTTTTATTATTTAGCATCACAAACATGGATGACTGAAAAAGAATCAAATTGGCCAGTTTGGAAACATTGGGTTAGCGTGTAGGTTTAAAAGATAGATTTAAATAAAAAGTTACATATTAATATATTTTACTAACGCAAATTATTATATTATTTAGTTGCGTACCAAATAATGTTAATACAAACACTGCATTTTTATATATTGATGGTGGTTCAAATGATAATTGGAAAACCCCAACTAAAATGGACTCAACCAGTAAGTATTTTAAAATACTAAATTAATAATTTAAAGTATTTATTAACAATTATTTTGTTTTATTTGAAATTTTTTTAATTGTGTTTATTTTAATATAGTTGAAATTGCTTGTCTTGCAGCTGGTTCAATTGTTGTAGGTGTTACTCAAATTCCAAATCAACCAATTATCTTTAGTAATGATGGTCTTCCAAGATTTGAGGATCAAGTTATTGCCTACACTGTAAGTTTTTCATTTTATTAAATTTTAATATAAATTATGACTAACTTTTTATTTTCATAGTGGAGAAAATTTTTAGAAAACTCAACAGATGATAATGCAGTTTGGTTAGCTAGATTACCAATGACCAAAGCTATTGTTAAAGCTATGGATGCTGTTCAAGAGTTTGGTAAAACTATTGGTGAAAATATTCAAGATTTTATTGTTGCTGGTGCCTCAAAGAGAGGTTGGACCACATGGACTACTGGTGCTGTTGACCCAAGAGTTAGAGCTATTGTTCCAATTGTTATGCCAATTTTAAATATGGTACCAAATATGGGTCACCAATATCAAGCTTATGGTGAATGGAGTTTTGCCTTAAATGATTACACTAATGTATGTATTTTGTTTATAAAAAAAAAAAAAAAAAAAAATTGCTAATAATAATAATAAAAACAGGAAGGTGTCATGGGTTATTTACAAGGTCCACAAATGAAAGCTTTAGCTGCTATTGTTGATCCATTCAGCTATATCGAAAGACTCACCATGCCAATTTATGCTGGTATGTTTTCGTTTATATTTAGGAATATTTTAATGATTCATTACTAATACTTCTTTTTTTTTTAAAACAGTTTGTTCAACTGGTGATGAATTTTTCCTTCCAGATTCAGCTCAATTCTTCTGGAATAATTTAACCTATACCCCAGAAAAACATTTAAGATTAGTACCAAATGCTGAACATTCATTAACAGGTCACCAAATCGATATTATTTTATCAATTGTTACATTCATTAAATTAAATGTTGCAGAAACCCCACGTCCACAATTTACATGGAATATTACATATTCAGATGATAACAACAGTGGTACAATCACAATGGTCGTCAGCGAAGGTAGCATTGCACCATATAAAGTTAAGGTTTGGGATGCTGTAACCGAAAGTACAACAAGAAGAGATTTCCGTCTCATTACTTGTATGGACCCAACCAAATGTGTTCAATTTGTTCTCTGGAAGCCAACAGATATTAAACCAACCTCACCAGGTGTTTACACTTACACCATGTCAAAACCAAACAAAGGCTGGAGAGGTTTCTTCCTTGAAGCTGAATACATTTTTGCCAAACCATCAGTTAATGATGAATACACTCTTAAATTCACCACCGAAGCTGCAGTTGTTCCAAATGTTTTACCATTCGGAACTTGTCTTGAATTAGATGGTTGTGGTGATGGTACCAATATTCCACCAATTGATTCAAGTGATAGCAGTACCGAATAAATGAAAAAAAAAAATCAATCAATCACACATTTAACACACATATTATAAAAAAAACAAAAACTGTATTTTCTATTTTAACATTTAAAATAAAAAATAATAAAAGTAAAAATAAAAAAATATAAAAATAAAAAATTTAAAATATTTTTTATAAATATTTTTAAAATATAATACCTGTATTAAAAAAATTTTGATAAGTTATTTCGTTTATAACGATTTTTTTTTTTTTTTAAATTTATTTTTTTTATTAATTTTTTTTTTTTTTTAATTTTTTTAAATTATTTTTCACACAGCTTGGTGTTTTTTTTTTTTCATAACCTTAATTTAATATATTTATTTATTTGTATATCCAAAACTTTAGGTGTAAAAAAAAAAGACAATAACAACAATAGTTACATAAATATAAATTTAGCTAAAAGCGCTTTAGTTATTTTCTTTTATTTATTTATTACCTTTTTTTTTCTTTTTTTTTTTTTTTTTTACAAATAAATAAATTATATAATATCATAATAATAAAAGTATTGTAGTAATAATAGAATAAAGTAATAATAATACTAAAGTAATAGTAATAATAGTAGAGTAATAATAATCATATAATAATAATAATGTCATCGAATCAAACTGATACACCAACAACTACACCAACTACACCAGCATCATCATCATCGAGTCTTGGTGAGTTTATACCACCACATGAAAGTGCAGGTGTTGGTAATCTTTTATTTCTTTTTATAGCATACTTTTTGTGTGGTGCAGTAGTATTTATTGGTATGAAACAATATATTTCATTTAAAAGAATTCCATTTTATGCAATATTTTTTTCATTTTTAGGATGGTTTATTTGCTTTTCAATTGCATATTTAGTACCAATAGACATTATAGTTGTAAGTAACAGTAATAATATAAATTAATAGTCAATCGTAATATATATTAATTTATTTTTTTTCAATTTTTTAGACAGATCACATTGAATGTGAGTTTAATAAATATAATAATACAAATAGCGAAGTCGATTGTGATGAGCCAATGACCTATTTACCATCAGGTATTATGAAATTACAATGGAGAATTTTATATTTTGGTACCTTAATTTTATCATGGTTAATTTTCCCAATTCTTCAATCATTTTCAACAGCAGCAGACTTTAGATTATCAGAGCGTATAAAGAGATCAATTAAAGAGAATATCGTTTTATATACATTTATGGCAATAGGTGGTCTTATTGGTGTTATTGTAATTCTTAGTGTTAAAGAGATGACTCCAAGCAGTTTCTTAGATTTTATTATGGTTTTAGCAAATGTTTATGGTGTTGTCTTAATCGTTATTACTATGGGTTATGGTTTAATAGATGTACCACGTAATTTGTTTAGAAAGGGTAGCCACTATAGTATTTTACGTAATTATCGTGTCGAGGCTGTAGTATTGAAAACAGAGTTAGAGGATACAAGAAAGAAATTGGTAGAACATCTCAAGCTTATTAAAACTCTTTCAGATAGGGCTGGTCAATATGATCCATTCCGTATCTATTTAGATATAATTATTTCAAAATGCCCACTCGAATATGACTCTGTTATTCAAGAGTATCATGCTGACCCATTACCAGCTGGAGCTGATGAAGAGATGTTAAGCTATAAGAAATTGGTTTGTGTTCATTCAACACTTTTAGATTTAGTTGACCGTACTCACTCTGCAGAGGTACTTTACGAACGTCTTTTAGGTAAAGCTTTTGCTATTGAAGATATTATAGAATCAAAGCAAAACATTAGACAAAATCCAGATGTAGAAAAAGGAATCGCTTGGACATTTAAACCAATTACAAATAACAAAGCAGAGTATATGTGGCATATGTACATCTTCCCATATTACTATAGATTCATGGGTTTCATTTGTTCATGTCTTTCTGGTATCATAGTTTGGAGTGAAATTGTTTTGGCTGTTTCAAGTAACCCTAAATATTCTCCACTCTACCGTGTTATTGTCAGCTCAGAGCCGGGTATCGGTTTGCAAATATTTTGTTTTATTCCATTAATCTATATGTGTCTTTGTTCATATAGTACTCTTTTCAAATTACGTATTTCAACCTATTATAGATTGGTACCACAACAAACCAACACTTTTAGTATTATGTTCAGTGCAAATTATTTATGTCGTCTTGCCGCTCCATTGGCTTTTAACTTTATTCAAATCTGCCACACCAATGATAATACAAACCCACTTATTAAATCACCATTTGATGTTGTTATGGGTGATATGAATGCTTTTGGCGATAATGGTATCGGTAAAAAATTCACAGTATTTTTCCCAATTTTTGTAATTGTCGTTTGTGTAATCTCATTCTTTAATTTACACAAGAGGATAGCCGCTTCGTGTTGCATTCAAAGTCTTAGAATTGTTACTGATACATCAGAAGGTGCTGTCGACCAAGGTTTAAAGATTCTTAAACAAGAGCGTGAGGAAAGATCATTAAATGGTGGTGTTGCTCCAGTCAAAACTCGTCTTAATATAATGAAGGATATGTTTGTTCAAAAGAAAAAGGGTACCTTAATTCCAAATCAAGATGGCGCAAATGATTCACCATCAAAAAATATCGATTTCTCAAATAGATATAAAAATACAGCACCAAAATCAAATATTGCAATTGCAAATCTCTCAAGAACTTATACATCAAAGTCTGGTAATGTTTATTCAAATCAAAAGGAAGATAATGATAGCGGTTCAGGTAGTTCAATTAATAATCTTTTCTCAAACATTTTGGGTGATAATAAAAATAGTGGTAATAATGGCGCAATATTAAATTCAAATAAATCAACAACCGGTGGTAAAGATAAGCAAAGTTTAATTTCAAATTTTTTAAACAAAGGAGATTTTGGCTTAGATGATGATGACGATGATCATACCTTTGACGATATAGAAATGGGTGCATTTAAATCAAAACCAGGTAAAAAATAAAATTTAAAAATAAATATTTATAAAAAAACAAATAAAATTATTTAAAAATCTAAAAAAAGTAGATATAAAATTTTATTTATTTAAATTTTTAGTTTTCACTATTATTATGGTTATATAAATAACCAATAATTATACTACTTGTTATTACAGCGGTTAAAATTAAAAATTTCTTGCTTTTAATAATTGATAGGATTGAGTTATTTGAACCATATTGGGTGTACCATTCGCTTTTTTGGATAATACTTAAATTTGTTAATTGGTTTTTGTAAGGACTTTGTGAAAGCTTCTTTAAATAGTTGTGGTAATGACTGAGTTGATATTTATAGTTATTATTTGATGGACTGAGGGTATAAAGACCATAGTAATTTGAACCATTTAATTCATATAGTTGAATAGATTGGTTTAATTGTTTAATTATATCGGATTTATTTTCATTTGATTTTCTTTCATTTGCTTTAATAAGAGTGTTTAGAATCTTGATTGAGTTCTCATAGTTGTCTATAGATTCTTGTTGTTGGTTTAGTTTTCTAAAGCAATTACCTAGAATATTATAACATTTTGCTAATAGTGGTTCATTTGTATTACCTATAATGGAGATTTGCTTTATTGTAAAGTCTATTGAGGTTTGATATTGGCCCAGTAAATATGACTGGGTTGAAAGTTTTTCTAATGAATCTAAAAGGTTATCATTATTTGTTTTTTTAATATCATATGATTTTTTGAAATAATCAAATGATAGTTGATGTTCTTTTCTTTTATTATATAATATACCAAGGGAATAGTATGATTCGTCCAATTCTTTATGACATGTGTTGGTTCTGTGAATTTTCAAACGAATGTTGAGGGCTTGTTGTAAGTTATTTAAAGAGTTTAATAAATAGTTGACATCTATACCATCATCCAATTGGAAATAACATAAACCTATCATATGATAGCATGTACCTATATCTTTATGGTTTGATGATTTGAATAATTCTTTAAAGAGATTAATTGAAGTTTCGAATTTCTTTATTGCCTCGATATAGTTTTTTTCCTTATATTCTACCAACGCCATTTTGAAAATTGATTTTGCATAGATTGGTGTATTCTTTTCTGATTCTTGTTCAGAGTGGTGGAGTGATTTGAAAAATTCATTTTTTGCTTCAGTAATTTTTTCGTTTGCCAAATAAAAGTTGCCAATATTTAAATGAATTGAGGCAAGATTCTTGGTTCTGGTTTCTAAATTCAAAGCCTTATCGTAAAATTGTAATGGTGTTTCGTCATGGTTATTAAGATGGAAGTGACATAGGCCAATATAATTATAGGTTTCCGAAAGGGTTGTTTTTTCTTCACCAACATCTAATTCGCATTTACTAAAGTAGGCCAATGCTTCATTGAAGTTGTTACTCTTGACACATGTTTTGCCAAGTTCAAATAAAGTAAAAGCTAGTTCAAGATTGCTTGAGTTGTTCTTTTTTTTAATTTCAAATGCTTGATTTAAAATTTTAACAGAGTCTTGATAGAGAGATAATAGTCTAAAGCAAATACCATAGTTTTCAATTATCTTGAAATGTTCTAAAACCTTTTCATTGAAATTGTTGTAAAAGAAACGAATGTGATTAAAATAAATTCTCCATCCCTTTGGGTATTCACCACTTAGATTCATAGATTCAAATAAACCAATAATTTTACTTTGGTTTTTAAGAGAGTCTGCATTACTGATGATTTGGGTTAAGATAATATTTTGAATGTTCTTGTAGGTGTTGATATTTTTGTTTGGTAATTCGTTAATTATTGAAATTGATGACCAATATCTAATATTCTCCTCTAAATTATAATCTGGATTGTTTATAATTTTTGATAAAATATCGAGTGAAATATTTTCAGGGTCAAGGAATGGTAGAACGTAGAGCACTTCTGATGATTCTGGTTTTGCTTTAATGAAATCACAAATTAAAAATTTAAGTAAATCATTAAAGTCAAGTGGCTGGGAATTATCGGGTTGGTTGTTTTGAATTAAATATTGGTGATTTAATAAAATATTTAAAAGATGAATTGATATTGGTGAACTGAAATTACAGTTAGATTTAATTCCTTTTTTGTGTAAATAGTCATTTGCTTGTTCATTTGTTAAAAGCTGAACATTAACTGAAATATCTTGAATATTCTCTTTACTTAATAAAAGATTTTTGTTGAAACGACATTTACCGAGTTGAGATGTAATAATAACTTTGGTATTTGTTTTTGGGAGATAGTATAGGAATGGCTCGATGACATTAGGATCGCTGACATTATCAAAAATGAAAAAGTAAAAGGTGTTTGTTGAGTCCATTATTGATTTATAGAAATCGGTTAAATTGTTTGATGATAGGTTAAAATCATAGCCATTGGTTTCTTCACTATAATTCTTTAATAAAATACAGCCAAACTCCTCCATTATCATTTCCTTTGTATCTGATTTTATAAATAATACTTTTTGGTTGCTATATTGTTGTTGGACTATCTGGGGATAATATTTGGTGGCATAGTGCAAAGATAAACTAGATTTACCGGATCCTTCTTCACCAGTAATAATCGCCATGTGTTGATGTTTATGGATTTCTGCAATTGATTGTAAATAGTTGTTTGGGTCATAAAAGTCTTCATCATTAATATTTGGATTTTTACGAATTTTATATTCTTTAAAATTTGAGTCATCATCTTTGGATTTTAATAGTTTTTTGATTGATTTGGGGCTTAGGTCAATTACTCTTGATAGTCTTTGCTTTAAATTTTCAAGAGTGATAGATTGGTTGGTAACCTTAATTTCATATTTATCTTGGGCATTTTCAATTTGATAAAGATTTTTAAGTTCTTTTAATTGCGATGAGATAAAGAAATCGTTAAATGAATTGAAATAGTTTTTTAAAGAGAGCTGAATGAAATATTGATCGATTTTTAATACATCTGTTACTAATGAGCCACCAAAAAGATTAACCTGTTCAACTTTATATTTGACACCTTTAATTGGTTCATTGGTTGGGTTTTCTAAATAACCATTGTCATTATATTTAAAGTATTTCATAAAGCTTGAGAGTTGTGATGGTGTTATAAATGGCCAGTCTTTGATTAGTTTATATTCCTTTGGTTTACCAGTAAGATAGTCAAAGCATTGTATAATTGGAATTAGGGAATGATACTTTGTTGTTAAAAGGAAATCCATCTTTGAGTCATCAACTTTATCTATGCCCTCTGGGTATACTCTGTAGGAAGAGTTTCCATCAAATAAATGATTGTTCATACAGTTTACAAGATTTGGTTCCGATAAGTATACAGTAATATCCATACTAGTATATGGGATTGCTGGTTCTTTAAAGTCATCATAAACTTTGTATTGATCAAGAGCACCTGGACTATCGAAAACTACAGTTTTTACTTTGGTATAGTCGAATCTATAGAAGCAATAGTAATGTGCTAATTCTGATAACCAAGCACCTAACGAATGGCCAGTGATAGTTAAATTATATTTTTTTTCCCTGCAATGGTCAATGGCCTTTTTGGTAGCTTCTAATGCTTTCTTTTGTTGATGAGTATCTTCTTTTTTTAAGGTAATACCAATACTATCCTCTAAGAAAGATAGAGCAAAGTCTTTTAATGTGTTGGTAGATGTACCACGGAAAGCCAAAATTACATGATGAAGTTTTTTATTTTCATAAAGAGCATATTGAAAACCATTATCATTTTCAAAGCTGATGATTTTTAAATCTTTTAAATATTGTTCTGTATGTTCTAATTGAGTCTGAGTATATTCACCTTGTTTAAATATTTCGATGTCACGAAAGTCAATTGCTTCTTTTTCGAAATAACTCTTATCTAAATAGACATGACCTGATATTACACCGCCTAAAAAATATTTTTAAAGTTATTATATAATTTTTTTTTAATTATTTTTTGGAGGGTTTTTTTTTTCTATAACTTACATAAATAATCACTGGGATGATAATTAAATGATTCATTGTTTTTCTTTAATCTTTTAATAATTTTGCAAAATTTGATATCGAAACGATCTTGTTCTTCGCTCCATACCACATTACCAACCTTTAAATTTTTCTTTAAAAATATATAAAGATCATCAAGTTGTTCACCATTTAAAACTTGATTTGAAAAATCGATAATACCTTCTGGATAAGTTACAGTGTAAAAATAGTTTGACGATGATGAAGTGGGGGTTGGGTTTTTTTTGAGTGTTGATCTAGTAATTGTTGGAATATATGATGGTTCGTTCATATTCATCCTTAAAAGTATATGTATATTTTAAATTTTTGATTTTTTTGATAAATTGTAAAAAAATTTTATTTTTATTTTTTATAAAATTTTTTATAAAATTTTTTAAATTTTTTTTTTTTTAGATTTAAATATATAAAATAAATTATTTGTATAAAAAAGTTGAAATATAAATTGATGGTTATTATAAAAAATATTTATAAAATAATAAAATTTTATTTTCAAATTAAAAAAAAAATATTATTAAAAATAAATTTTATAGTTGCACAGATTCTATATTTAATATCTTTTTGAAAATTAAAAGTTTTTTTTTTGGGGCTTAGATATTAAAAAAAAAATTTTAGAAAAATGTAACCCCCAAAAAAAAAAAAACTATAAAAATTTTGCCAAAGCACCAAAAAAAAACATACACCACACCATACAACACTGCACCTTTTTAAAATTAACTAAACAAAATTCTTTTATTTAGGAAATTTAAAAAGAGTTTTATATTAAAAAAATATGATCGTGATAAACTGAAAAAAATTTGTGGTCGGTTTATAAAAAAAATTTATTTTATATTGAACAAAAATAATAATCAAAATGAATTAAAATAAGTTTATTTTTTAAATTTTATTTTTATCTTTTAAAATGTTTTAATAATAATACAAACGTTAATATAATTGATTTTTTTATTTATTATTATTAAAATTACATTTGATATTCATCATGTAAAGATTCTGTTAAAAACAAATCTATTTTAGCACCAATAATTTGATCAAACATACGGTCACCTGAGGCATGAATTTTGATAGAACTATCAAAAGCATTATTTAAATCTTTTGTGAATCTTTCAACAAAGTTTGGGATACAAGAGAAACCGCCAGTAATAACAAGTGTTGAAAGGGGATCTGGGTTTTGGATGAAACATTGCTTAGATTTCATTTGGTTGATGAATGATACAGTTTCTTCAACTACACCTTTAGCGGTATTATATTTAATGAGGCTTGGATTGAAAAAGATTTCTGGTGCAAAAACATATGGATCTCTTTCTTTAATTTCTTTTTGATAGTCATTACTTGCTCTAACAAGCAAGAACCAACCATTTTTAAAATTGGCTGTACGTTCACCGTAATAAGGGTCATTTCCAAAGAGGGTAGATTTACATTCTGGTGAATTAAATGATGCGAGGTATGATTCTAAATCTTTTCCACATACTTTAAGTTGAAGAGAGTCTACTTGATGGCCGTTATGATAAGCAGCTAAAACAAAAACATCTCTGCCCATCATTAAAACGATACCACTCTTTAAACCATGTGATTGCAATGATAATAAGCCACCATTTCTAAAGAGAATGAGATCATTTCTTAAGGATTTTCTAGTTTCAATTAAAGATTTACCACCATTTGAAGCATACACTATTGGGTTGATGATGAGTAAAATAGGTGCTGTAAGATTTCTTTTTCTTGAGGCAACTTGTGTGCATACATAATTTATCATTTCCTTTAAGCATTCTCTACTGAGTGCATCTGTTTTAAATTCACCACGTCTAACACAATCAGTGTTGTCATAATATGAAATGTTTGGACCAACTAACCAATTGTATCTATCGAATGTGGTCATTACATAATGTGGTGCATATTCTTGATGTTTACCTGCTTTTTGAACACATGACCCCAATCTATTTTTAGTGTCACCATATTTGATATACTCAGATCCAATATCAATGATTGCGACTTCATTTTTTAATATATATTTATGGATATTTGAATATGTTAAATACCAACTCTTAGCCTTTTGCTGTTTTGATGATTTGACATTAAACATTTTTTTAATTTGTTGTTTGGTGCTATTTACTTTGATGGAGCCCTCAATGTTTTGTTCAAAAGAAAAAGCTTCCATACTGTACTCTCTAATGTATAAACGTTTCCAAAGTGAATCCTTCTTGGCCACTCTTGAGAAATATTTGCTTGTGCACATTAAACGACATATATCTCTACAATTGAGTTTCTCTAAAATTAAAAATAATTGAAATTCTGGTATTGTTTCTAATTCCATTTCTTTTGGTTTTTGAGTATTTTTCTTTTTGGAATCATCTAATGATAGTTTTGAAAGAGTTGAAGCTGTATCATCAAATGATGGATAGTTAACTAGAAGCATTTGGGCTTTAACATAGGTAGAGATGGCACTTTCTAAATCTTTTTTATCTTTTTCCATTGAATCTGCTAAAAAGAATAGCTCTCTGGCTTTTTCTAATTCTTCCTTTTGAGTCTTACTTAATTCTTCACTTTCACAATCAATACGAAGGAACATCATATCGACACGAACGATATATTTTTCACCACTTAAAACTTCTTGACCACAATGTAGAGTATCATGATTGAATAAAATTGCTCTTCCAGTTACTGGTTTAACAGAGTCTTCTAAAATGTGCTTTTCTAATTCTAATGGATTGGCATGTGTAAAAAAATCAGTTGTACCACCTTCAAACTCTTCGTTCAAGTATACTTGGAGAGTATAAATAGATCTTCTGTTGGGTGAATCAGCAAAAACTGCATCGTAATGTGGTTTGAATCTTCCTCCTGGTAAATATTTACCAAATGTAAAGCAATTATCCAATCCAACTGGTATCCAAATACCACCTTGGTCAAATCCATATGGTCTAACACCCTCTAAATCATCTGATAAAAAAAGAGGTTCTAATCTTTCCCATAATAATTCTGATAAATTATCATTTTTTCCTAAATATCTTAAATTATTACGATAATGTGTTGGAAATTCTTTTTCAATTGTTACATAACCTTTTCTTTCACTTTCTTTAATATAATAGCTATAATTAAATTTTTTTTTTTTTTTTTTTTTTATAAATTAAAAAATAAATTAGTTTTTTGAAAAATATAAAATTAAAAAATAAATATTAATATCTATACATACTCGCATTCTTCTTTTGTTAATAAGTTATTAACTATAAAACCATTTGATTTTGATAGTTTTAAATTAATTCTTTCTAATTTGGAACTGTCGAATTTTTGGTCTGCATATTCGTTAAAATTTAATAAATCACTTCCAGTAATAATTCTATTTTCTGGTACCGATATTACGGCATCACTTTCCATTTTTATTTTACAAAATAGATAATAATAATAAAAAAAAAATAAGAACCAAAAACTATTTGTTATAACAAATTATAAGTTTTATATAAAAATAATTTGTGTAAAATTATAAGAAAAATTTTATAATAAAATTGGATTTTTTAAAAAAAAAAAAAAATAATTATTTTTAATAAAATTAAAAATCAAAAAAATAAAGTTTTTTTTGGAGAAAAAAAAGTGATTTTAATTAAAAATAATTTTACAAGTATTTACATTGAAAACGATTGGTAAAAAAAGAAAGAAAGAAAAAATAAATACAAATAAAAATAAAAATTAAAATTAAAAAAAATAAAAATAGATTTGTATAAACTTTTTTTTTTTTTTTTTTTTTTTTTTTTTTATTAATTTATTTTTAAATAACTTTTGTGGCCATTGGTACAACATCAATTGGTAGTTTATATTTAAAACCTTTTAGATATATAAATTTAACTGATGATGGGATTGAATCTTTTGAAAATATTTGTTTTACATCGTATAGTGAAATTTCTGTGCAAGACTCTGGAATTATACCTTTGGTGATGGGGTGATTAAAACCATCTATAAATATAATATTTTTGATATTGGGTGGTATGCAACCTGGTTGTAATGGTTTCAGTATTTCACCTAAATACAATGTATCCACAGAGTTTGGAATGGTATCTGTGGTTATTGGATGACGATACCCATATGCAAAAATTATTTTTTTAATATTTAAATTTTCACCTATATTAAATTTTGAAATTGGTAGTTTGATATCATAAAAATATAATCTTTCTAATGAAACTGGAAAGTTGAAACCATTGCTGAGTATTTCAGGTGATAATTGAAGATTGAAACCATTATTAAAAATAAGTTCTTTTATAGTTGATGGAATTGAACGAAGAGTGAGTGAGCTCTTTACATCGCCAATATAGAGATTCTGTACAGATTTAGGAATTTTGGATGCTTTGATTTTGTGGCTGAAGCCATGATCAAAATAAAGCTCTTGAATAGTGTTGGGAATTGATGTTTTAGTTAGTGATTGAACTATATCATTAATGTACAATGATTGAACTGTTGGAGGAATCACTTCGCTAGTAATTGGATGAGCATAGCCATTTTCGAAAAACAACTCCTTGACACTACTACCAATGGAGCCACATATTAAAGGCTCTTTGATATCACGAATAAATAGTTTTTTGATTGAAGTGGGCATGATGTCGCTTCTGATTATATAACTATATCCATGAGAGAAATCCAGTATTTTGACGGTAGACGGAATAGAGTCGGTTGCCAATGGTACCTTTATATCACAAATATATATTTTTTCAACTGTTGAAGGAATTATTTCTTGATTTATTTTGTGATTAAAGCCATTACAAAAAATAATCTCTTTTACACAACATTCTGGTATTGAGTTTTTAGTTAGAGGTTCTTTAATTTCACCTATAAACAATTTCTCTACACTGTCTGGAATGACTCCATTTTCTATTGGGTGTTGGTAGTTGTTGAAAAAGTAAAGATTTTTTATAGTGTTGGCTGGTAAAGACTCTTCAGTTAAACCTTGCTTAATGTTACCAATTGAAATAGATGTTACAGTATCGGGAATGGTTTGACGTTCGATTGGATGGCTAAAATTATTATAAAAAATGATTTCTTTGATGGATGGTGGTATCGAGCCAACTATTAAAGGATTCGCAATATTTCCTACATACAGTTTCTCTACGCTATTTGGTATAATTTCATTTAGTATCACTGCATTTGGATCGAAACCGTCATATAAAAGTAAATTTGTAACCGAGTAGGGTATGGCTTGGTTTGAAATTGAAAAGGTTGTTGATGTAATTGCTAAACTATCTATATACTCTGGAATTGGTTCACCATGGCTAATATAAAAAACTTTTTCGATTGAATCTATTATTTTTTTCTCTAACATTAGATGACTATTATTTATCTTATCTTCAAATGGAACACTATCGACCATAAAATTATTCTTTATCATATCAATTCCGATTTCTAACTCCTCTTGATTATATTTTAAGCTATCCTCTTGAAACAGATTTAACGTGTTATTTTTTCTTTCTATAATTTTATTTGTATTATCACTATCTCTTAATAATGGTATAAACTTTTTGACCACATTATTATCAATTTTTTTAACACCATTATTACTACCTGTACTACTATTTAAACTATTATTACTATTATTTAAGCTATTGTTACTATTATTTAAACCATTACTCATTAGATTGTTACTGTTTCTTAAATTGTTTACATTATTATTGCTATTATTTAAATTTTCTTTTTGTTGTTCTAAAATTTGATCAATATTTAAATCGTTTATTTGATCCTTATGTTTCTCTAATATGGCATCTATGGTTTCTGCATCTGATTCTATTTGAGTTTTAGTTTTTAAATATAACTCTTCATTTTCTGATAATCTAGTATCTAAAGTCTTTTTTAGGTTTACTTCAATAATTTGTAAAAAATTGTGAAGTTCTTTAAATTTGTTATAGAGTTTGGCTGAATTTTGTTGATGTTTATCTTTTATTATTTTATGGGTTTGTTCTAATGATTCTAATATTGCCTTGCCGCTTTCTCTGTAGCCTCTTAATGTTGGATACTGTCGTTTAAATCTATCAATTATATCTTTACTCTGATCGAGGGTTATTTCTGAAAGTCTATGTCCATTATGATAACTGATTACACATTTATGGCAAAGTGGGGACATACATTCATCACAAATATATCCAATATCAATATCTCGGTGAAAATGACATTTTATATCAATTTCATTATTTTGATTATTTTGATTATTTTGATTATTTTGATTATTTTGATTGGCTAGGTTATCTGAATTATTTTGATCATTATTATAATTATTATTTACATTATAATATAATTGTATATTATTATTATTATTATTATTTACATTGTTATTATTATTATAGTTATTATTGCAGTTATTATTATAGTTATTATTATTATTATTATTATTATTATTAAACATTGGTATCATAAATTTAAATTATATATATATATTATTATAATTAAAAATAAACTATTATAATTAAAAACACAAATTGACTATTAAGAAAAAAAAAAATAAAAAAAAATAAATAAAAAAAAAATAAATAAAAAAAAAGATTTGCTTTATGTTGATATTTTATTATTATTGTTTATATAGTGAGGAGGGATAAAGGAAGAGAAAAAAAAAATTGATTCTGTCAATGATAGTCTTATTATTTACTACCACTATTGGTAGTGATTAGAAGTAGTAATGTGCGTGTATTATTTTAAGAAAAAAATATTAAATTATAATTGAGGTTTTTTATTTTTTTTTGAGTTGGTTGAAACTAAATTAAATTATAATTTATTATTTATTATTTTTGATTGTTATTAAAATTTTAATAACATTAAAGAAGTCGTTTAAGGTGGCAAAAATTTATTTATTCGAATTAATAAGTTTACACACAACTTAAAAAAAAAAAAAAACAATAATAATATTAAAAAAAAAAAAAATTAAAAATAATAAAATAAAATAAAATAAAAATTTTAAAAAAATTTTGAAAAAAAAAATATAAAAAAAAAAAAATATTAGGAAACCAGTAACCGAAAATATCCATCTCATGGATATTACTTTATTATCTATTTTTATTACTTTGGTTTACCATGGTGTTTAAAAAAAAATAATCAAAAATCTAAATATTTGCATCATCAAATAAAAAAAAAACTAAAAAAAAAAAAATTTTAATTTTGTGTGTGTATCTAAAAAAAAAACTTGGTGTACAACATTGTGCAACATTCATTTTAATCATTTTTTATATTTAAAAAAAGATTCATTCAATTTTAAATTAAAAATCCCAAAAAAAAAACCACTCAAAGACAGCTTTAATATAAAAAAATAAACATTAAAAAATAATTGTTTTTATTTTTTATTTATTTTTTATGAAACTATTTTATTTTTTAAAATAATTAAAATTGAAACTTTATTGCTCTAAACTTTCCTTTATTTTTTTTATTTTTTTTTTAAGCTATTCGCCCAGTTTTAAATTTTCAAAGGATTTTATAGAGTTATCTGTAATCAATGGTAGAATGTTTTCGTTTCTAAATTGTAAAAGTTTCATTGATGATAATGATATTGTTCCTGGTTTAATAGATTGGAGAAACATGAAACCAAATTCCAATTTCTCAAGATTAGGTGGTAATGAATGTGGTTTTATAGGTTGATTAAATAATTTACCAAATATAAGTGATTTAATATTTGATGAAAAGACACCAGGCTCGATGGGATGATTAAAGCTCCACCCTAAATTAACAGAGGTCACTGAAGGAGGTATTGTATTTATATCAATAGGTTTATCATATTCCCAACCAAAAATAAGATAGGTTAGATTTGGTGGAAGAGAATGTGGTTTTAATACTTGATTAAAAGAGTTTGATAAAATAAGTTTCCTAAGTGTAACTGGGAGTGTTCCTGGCTCAATTGGATGATTAAATTTCCCACCATCCCCATCCTCTCCACCTAATGTTAAAACAATTAAACCGGGTGGTAAATCATTTGTTTTAATTGGGTGACTGTAACCTTTGATGGTTAATGATTTAATATTTGAAGGTAGTGTACCTTGATGAAGTTCTATATTGTAACTACCCAGATCAAGATGTGTGACACTTTGAGGAATTATATTTGGTAAATTTAATGGTTCATTTATTTCTAAAAACAAATGTTTTATATGCTCTCTGTATGGACAAGCTAAAAGATCACCAATTGATGTAAAATATACTTGGGAAGTTTCATAAAATGCAATGTTATCCATTATTAGTTAATTTAAAACTATTAGTAATAATGGAACAAATGAAAGATTTTTTTAAAAATAAAAATTTTTGTTTTGTTAATTTTTTAAAAAAAAAAATTGAAATTTTTTAGATATCTGTTTTTTAGTTTATAAAATAAAAAACCACAATATTTATTTGAACGTTTATTAATATATGAGTTTATGATTACAATTTGTTGAGAATGTGGTGAATATTTTATATGTAAATTATTTTTATTAAAAGTATTACAGTTGTAAATAAACAATGATGAAATTGGATAATAACCAATTCTTTCATTTTCTAAATATTCTTATCACTTCATCTTCGACCTCGACTTCTGCTTCTACTTCTACTTCGACTTCCACTTCTACTTCGACTTCTACTTTTCCCTCTTGATCTCCTATGTTTTTTCTTTTTATCCCTTTTCTTTTTTTTATCGCTCTTTTTTCTTTTTTTTCTGTTTTTATCTCTTGATGATGACCTTGATGAAGATCTTGATGATGAAGTAGATGGCGATCTATTACGTTTTGATTTTCTTTTTCTCTTTTTTTTATTTTTGTATTCTGGTGATCTTGATGAGGATGATGACGATGATGATGATAATGATCTTTTATTTCTTTTTTTATTTTTATATTCAAAACTTGATGATCTTGAACGAGATCTTGAACGTGATCTTGAACGAGATCTAGTGTGGCCATATCTCTTTTCTTTTCTTTCCTCCTCTCTTCTATCTTTATATCTGGTATCTCTTTCTATATTATTATCACTTTCGTCACTATCTTTATATACATCCAAAGAAATACCATACTTCTCTTTTAAATTTTGCAAAAGCTCTTTATCTTTTCTTTCATCGTGCACTCTACTACCCACTCTACCTCTACCCCTAACTTTATATTTATTTAAAATTTCAGGGACTGTATCATCAAATTCTTTGTCAATTATACCACTTGATATCTTTTCATTTTCAACATTATTAAAACTATTATCTTGATTTGTGCTAACATCATCATCTAGTCTTTTGATTCTCTCCTTGTGTGTTAGTCTTCTTTCCAATTCATTTTGTCTTCTTTCTAATTCATATGAATTGTTCATAGAATCATGTTGTTTGTAATTTGTACTACTATTATTTTTAAAATTACTATTATTACTATTATTACTATTATTATTATAGCTATTATATTTTTTGTTACTATCACTATTTCTATTTGATGATACTGTTGTATTTGGTAACTCTTGTTTCGATTCTAATTCTTTTAAATATTTATTATGTGATACCGTTTGACGAAGAATATTATTTAGATATGAAACATTTGGACATGAATTTCTTTTTAGTGGGGCTGAACTTGATGATATTAAACTGGTATCACTAATATTATTATTTGTGTGTGGTTTTTCTTTATTACCACTGTTACTATTTAATATTGATTTCACATAATCATCGTGTAGCTCTAGTGTTGATAAAATTTCTTTATCAGTTAACCCATTATTATTCTTTTTACTATTATACATTATAACCCCTTTTTAACGGTATTATTATAATTGTGTTAAATTTATTAATTTTGTTAAAACTCCCATATAAAAACCACAAATATAAAAAAAAGGGTATTGTAATTGAACGGGGAGTTAATTAATTAAAAAAATAATAAAATATTTTATTTTTTTTAAAATTTTTTTTTTTTTAATTTTTTCTTAATTTTTTTTTTTTTTTTTTTTCGTTTTTTTAAAAAAAGATATCTGCCAACAGCAAAATTATTATTATTATTTAAAATTTTATAAACATTCTATTTATATATATATATAATAAAAAAAACTATATATATATATTAAAAATGACAGATATCGAAATTAAAGAAAATATTGAAACAACTATTAATAAAGAAGAAGAGGAAGAAAATACAGAAACTATTTTAATGAACCCAACAACAATTATAAATAAAATCGGTGGATATGAATTTTTTAGAAATGTTTTAAAATCACCAAAGTTAGTAGTTGCACCAATGGTTGATCACACCTATTTAGCATTTCGTATGTTAACTAGAAAATATGGTGCAGATTTAGTTTATACACCAATGTTCCATTCAAAGAATTTTGTAACTTGCAAAACCTATAGAAAAGATAATTTCACAACATGTCCTGAAGATAGACCATTAGTAGTTCAATTTTGTGGTAATGATCCAGAATGGGTAGTCAAAGCAGCCAAATTAGTTGAAGACCGTTGCGACGCTATAGATTTAAATTTAGGTTGTCCACAACAAATTGCCCGTCGTGGTAATTATGGTAGTTTCCTTTTAGATAAACCACACATCATTCTTCCAATCGTTAGAGAACTTCACAAAAATATCAAAGTACCAATATTTTGTAAAATTAGATTACTCCCAGATCTCAAGGATACCATTAAATTAGCATTAGATTTACAAGAAGCTGGTTGTCAACTTTTAACAGTTCATGGTCGTACAAAGGAACAAAAAGGTCAATATTCAGGCCATGCCAATTGGGACGCTATTCGTCAAATTAAAGAAGTACTTCATATTCCAGTCATCGCTAATGGTAGTGTTGTTAAATTTGATGATATTGATAGATGTTTAGAAGCTTCCAAAGCTGATGGTATTATGAGTGCTGAAGGTTTACTCGCCAATCCATCATTCTTTTGCGGTAAAGATATTTCAATCTATCAAGTTGCTCACGAATATATGGACTTTTCAATTCAATACACCACCGCTGGTCACATTGTCAGAAGTCACCTCTTTAAGATGTTAAAAGAAAAATTCGATAACTACTCTGATCTCAGAGATAAAATGGGTGAAACTCACACCATTGACGGTTTCAGAGATATCGTTAACGAATTAGAAAATAGATATAAAACAGGTGCACCATTTATCAAATGCTTAACAAACAAACAAAAAAGAGAATTAAAAGAAAAAGAAGACCAAGACAAACAAGAAAATGAAAAAAAACAAAAAACAGAAAATGATGAAAATTTAAATAACAATGTAGATAATAATAATAATAATAATAGTAATAATACTGAAAATAAATAATTAAATTTTTTTTTTAAATTAACCATTATATCTTGTCCAATTTACTGATCAATTATTTAGTTTTTTTTTATTTATTTAATTAATTATTTATTTTTTTTTTTATTTTTTTTTTAAAAAAATTTTTAATTTTTTTTTTAATTTTTATTACTTTATAAATTTTTTTTTATGTTCACACCATCCCATCAAAACAGAATCCATATTTAGCCAATCAAACAATGACAAATATAATCGATAACTTTGTTAATGAATCACTAATAAAATTCCTCCCAATAGAACCAGAATCCTACCATGAAATTGATGCAGATAGTAAGTAAAACTTTATTTTTAATATTAAATTTTTATTTTTATTATTATAAATTAACAGCAATATATAATATAGATAAGATTGATTTCATAAATGATATACTCCCAGGTACAAATATTGGATTTACCATAGAAAAATTTAAACATAAACTTTCAGTTTCAAGAGGTGTCAAACCAAATTTTTATCAAGTAGATTTATTAAATAAAAGCTTAAAGAACCATAACTTTGGAGTTTCAGTTTATGATGGAAAGGATATACAACTTAACTATATAATGAAACCAATTAAAGGAATCGGTGCAGATTTTAGTGTAAATACATCAATAGGTTCAAAAAGACTATCAGGTACATTCGCAGCATATCATAGAGGCAAACGTTCATTTACAGAGATTAAAGGAACCGAAATTGGCGATCATCGTTTAGTAGGCGTAAGCTATTCACATATAGTTCGTAGTTGGTGGACATTGGGTGCTGAAGCATACTATAAATTCATTCAAAGTAGTGGTGGTGCAGGTTTAGCAAGTCGTTTTAGAGGCGAATTAGCAGGTTTACAATATACAGTAACTTCATCCTACAATATTATGGGCGACTTACAATTAGGAACCTCCATTTGTATAAGCCCAAAATACCTTTCAATCTCCTCTCGTTTCAATTTAAATACAAATAGCATGCAAAGCAATACCCAATTTGGTGCCAAATTAATGTTATATCCAACCATCAACGGCTATAGCGCTCCAACCTGCCTTAAAATTCGTACAAGTAATAATTTAGAAAATGCAATCTCCTTAGAAGTCCATACTCCAGCTGTTAAAATTAGTTTAGGATGTTTTGGTAAAAAATTAGATTTGTTTAATAATATTGGAATTAATTTTGAAATTTAATTAATTAATTAAATTAATGAACAAATAAATTATAATAATTAAAAAAAATATATTATAAAATATATATTTTCTTTTTTTTAAGTATGTATATTTTTTTTTAAGTTTATTTATCCCCTTTTTTATATCATCATCATTATTCCATTATTCATTTATTTAATCTGTATCAACAAATGAAATTTTTAAAATAATGATCTTAAAAAGGAAAATGTATATATTTTTTTTGTAGGATAAATTAAAAAAAAACAATCATTTTTCACCCAATATATAAATTAAATCTAAAAATAATGTAAATCATAAATTTTCTTAAAAAGGAAAAAAAATAAATAATTTATCACACAACATTATAATTTAAAAAAATTAATATATTATTTTTAAAAATAAAAAAAAAAAAAAGATTAATTATTGACACATCATATTACATATGTCCATTTTCCACACAATATCAACAATAAATTATATTTGTATATAAAAAACTAATAACAATAAAAATACTTTTTTTTTTTTTTTTTTCTAGATTAGGTTGGTACAAAAATTTTATGTTTTATAATATGTATGAATATTGTATATATACTAATGTAATTTCATATTTTGGGTGTGGTTGTATTTTAAGTATAATAATTATTTATGTTAATAATTATGATTTTTTTTCAAGTCGTTAACAGTTTATTTATTATTATAAAATAAAAAAAATTATTAACTAATTTAAAAAATAAGATTTATCGCTCATTCAAAATACTAATATGTGGTGTGATACCATAAAAAAAAAATTTCTATGATTATTTTTATTTTTTTCTTTTTTATATAAATAATAACCAAACAATTTTTTTTTTTTTTTTTATTATCATAAAATTATAAACATAAATTTCTAAAAAAAAGTAATAAGAAAGTTTTTTTTTATTTTCTAATTTTTTATTTTTTATTTTTTATTTTTTATTTTTTATTTTTTTTTTTTTTTTTTTCATTTTTCAGTTTTATGAAAAACTATAATCAATCACAAAATAATTATAATAATTGATTCTTTATGATTTTATGATAATCCTTTTTTGGGGAGAACCTATCACTCAAAAGTCACTGCACTCGTATAAAACCAATTATATTTTAATTTTATTTTATTTTATTTTATTTTAAAAAAAAAAAAAAATATAGGATATTTTATTATTTATAATAATAAAAATTTTATTTAATTTTAATTAAAATATTTTTTTTATTTTTTTCTGCAAATATTTAATATACCTCAAAAAAAAAAAAAAAAAATTTCTTTTTTCTATTTTATCCGCTATCATAAAAAGTAAATATATTTTTTTTTGTGTATCTTTTTTTTTATCTTTTGTCTTTTTTTTTTTTTCAACTCTTTATAACCTCAACTCACCCACACAAACACACAAAAAAAAGGATTTATTTAATTATTTATTTTTAGCCTCTATCTCCTTTTTCTTGTTATTTCTGATTTTTATTTTATTTTGACAATAATTTAATAGATAATAAATATTTATTGTACCAGTAAATAATTAAAATAACAGTAAAGAGTAATATCAACTTAAGGGTAATAATTATAATAATAATAATAATAATAATAATAATCGTATTAATAGATATACGATAATTTTAATGGTGTTTGTATACAATTAATTAAGTCTAACACATCATCTTCATCACAATAATAATCAGAATCATAATCACACCAAACCAATAAAGCTATTTATTAATAAAAATAAATTAATTTAATACAAACCTCCACCACTACCGCCCACAATGTATATATATATATATACAAAATTAACACCCCACATTTCAAACACCACAATAAAAGTAAAAATAGTAATTCAAAAAAAAAAAAAAACAAAAAAAAATTTAAACACCCCCATATTAACACCCACATTTAATAATAAATATTAAAATTTGTTTGTTGTTGCTGTTCAATTTATTTTTATTTTTTTTTATTTTTTTTTTTTTATTTATTTTGGGGTGTTGGTATTTTTGTGTTTGTGTGTTGTTTATTGTAAGTTTCTTATTTCTACATATAACATATTTTATTCATTTATTAGAGGAATACCCTCAAAAATTCCTCATTCACACCACACAAAATAAAATATAAATCATAATTGGATATTGGCAGTTATTTTAGGTTATATAAAATCTTTTTCTTTTTTTTTTTTTTTAATTTTTGAGGGGTGTTTGAAAATTTTGATAGGTGGTGTTACTGTGTTATTGATTTATTTTTTTTTTTCTATAACACATAACACCCTCACAATCTATCACCCCCTTTTCACATAGTTAAACCCCATTAAAGGATTGTTTATTTTTTTTTATTTTATTTTTTTTCAAAAAATATTTTTATTTTAATTTTAATTTTATTATTATTTTTATTTTTATTTAATTTTTTTTTTTTTTAATTTTTTTTTTTATTAAAAAATTATTTTAATAGGTATTAATAATTTTCATTTTTTTTTTTATTTGACTATTAGATAATTTTCTATACATATACAAAGAAAATCAAAATCATATCCAATAAAAGCTTTCAACAGTAAATCTCATAAATAATTCAATACACAACTCTAACTACCTTCTATTTAAATACAATAATATTTAATAGAAAAAAATAATAACAAATAATTTTTTGTCTATATAAACAATAATAATTTTTTTTTCAATTCATTCAATTCATTCAATTTATTAAAAAACTTTTTATTTTTTAAAATAATATATTCCAAAATGTCCTCAATTTTTGGTAAGTTATTTTCTATTTTTATTTTTTTTAAAAATAATTATTTTTTATAAAAAATAAATATTAATATTTTATTAAATTATAAATATTTTAGACTTTTTCAAATCACCAAAAAATACTTCATTATCAAGCTCATTAGATTCAATTCAACCACCACAATTATCTAAATCTGCTTCAAACTCTCCATCTTTAAACTCTTCATCTGAAAATGCTTTCATGAGAACAACCTCAAGCCCATCCATTGATATTCCAAATGCAAGTAACAAAGACAGAGAATCCTCTTACTTTAGAATGCTCCAAGTAATTGAAGGAAGTTCTTTCTAAAAACAAAAAATTTAAAAAAAAAAAAAAAAAAGAAAAAATTATATGTCAAATGTCTTATGTATAGTATAAGCAAAGAGCTCAAGTATTTTTATTTTTAAGACAAGTTTTCATAAATCAATTCATCAAATTTTCAATTTTAAAAGACACAAGTAGATTGTACCTTTTTTCTTCAATAATTTTAACTATGTTGGTTATAAATAATAACAGTAATCTTCTTTTTAATTGTCGCTTTTGACAAACCCTGTAAATAATAAAAAAACCCTGTATATAACAAAAAAAAATAAAAATATTTCATCATTACACCATTTCTCCCGAATTTTTTTTTCATTTTCTTCTAATAGAGATATAGTTTTAATTAAATGGGCGTTACTAAATCACTTATTTATTATAAATTATTTGAAAAAATAATTATTTATTTAAAATTTTAATTTTTTTTTTTTTTTTTTTAATTTTAATTTTTTTTTCGTTTTTTTATAATTTTTATATTTTCTTTTTAATTAATACACTGTGTGTAAACAGACAGAAATTGTTATTTAATACAAGAAATAATAACAATGCTAATGTTATTTTCAAAATGTGTAAAAAATAGAAGACTATACTCAACAATATCACCCAAACCTATACCTTCATCAGAAATACCAAATAATAATAATATTAATAATAATATTAATAATAATTTACACTTTAACAATTCATTTAAATTAGAAGAAGCAAATATTAAAAAAATAAATAGAGCCAATAATGATAGTGATAGTAGTTTTTCAAATATAGATGATCCATTACAACCAAAGTTACATAAAAAACAACAATCAAGGCCAATATCAGAATCACAAAGACCACATTCAATACACCAAAAAAAATTTAAACCATTGGATAAAACACATGATAATTTGGAAAATATTTTATTGGCAAATCTTGATAGTTTTAATATTCAAGAAAAGAATCAAAAGGATTTTTTAGATTTTATTCAAAATAAAATGGCATTATTGGATCCATTTTTATTAGGCAAATTAAAATATTCATCTTCTCGTGAGGTAAAGAAGGAATCATTAAAATTTATGCAGTTAAATTTAAAACCATTTTTAAAGAGTTTACGTGAAAAAAAGAAATCAGTACAAGAAATATTGGCAGATTTAAAAGAACCTCACTTATGGTATCCGGAAGCAAGAGCAATTAAAAGAAAGTTTATTTTACACACGGGACCAACTAATTCTGGTAAGACTCATCATGCATTGGAAAGATTAAAGAGCGCTGACAGTGGTGTTTATTGTGGACCACTTCGTTTATTGGCACAGGAGGTATACGAAAAATTAGCAGATAGTGGCGTCGAATGTAGCATGTTAACCGGTCAAATTCGTATTGTTAATCCAAACGCAAAACACATTTCATGTACAATAGAATTGGCAAATACTGAAGAGATGGTAGAGGTTGCAGTAATCGATGAGTTTCAATTAATCAGCGATAGTGACAGAGGTTTATATTGGACCAGAGCAATCTTGGGCATACCAGCACTTGAAATTCATTTGTGTGGTGATGGTAGTTCAAAAGAATTAATTAGAAAAATTTGTGAAATTACAGGTGATAGTTATGAATTACGTACATATGAACGTTTATCACCATTGGAAATAGAGGAAAGACCAGCATCAATATCAAAACTTCAAAAAGGTGATTGTTTAGTAACATTTTCAAAAAAAGAATGTATAGAACTTAAACAACAGATGGAATCAAAAGGTAAAAGATGTGCCATTGTTTATGGTTCACTTCCACCAATTATTCGTCTTCAAGAGGCCAAGCGTTTTAATGACACTGATGATGCCGAAATCTTAATTGCAACTGATTGTATTGGTATGGGTTTAAATTTAAATATATCTCGTGTTATCTTTACTTCAACTTTTAAATATGACGGAAGAGATTTTAGAAAATTAAAGAGCCCAGAGCTTAGACAAATCGCAGGTAGAGCAGGTAGATTCAAATCAGATTTTAATTCATGTGGTAAAGTTTCAGCATTCGATAGAACAGGTTTAGATCATATTAGAAAAGCATTCGCTGCAAGAGAAGAAGAAAATAAACGTGCAGGTTTATTCCCACCAGCAGAGCAATTGGAATTATTTGGTGAAAATATTGCTAAAAACTCAACAAAGTTCTCAGAAATCTTAAAAAGTTTTGTTTTATCATCAAATATCGACCAACACTATTTCTTGTGTTACTTTGACAGATTTTTAATTATTGCAGAGCATTTGGATGAAATCAAAATGAGTATTCCAGATAAATACTTGTTCATTTGTTCCCCATTCCAAATTCATCGTAAAAAAGCAATGTTTTTCCTAAAAAGCTTTGCTTTTGATTATTCAGAGGGTAAAACCATTCCATTCCCATTCAATCAATCCCATATGGTAGAAGGTCACACTGCAAATTCAACATTGGAATGTTTAGAAGATCTTTATGCCATCAGTGATGGATATTTGTGGTTAGCACATCAATTCCCAGAATCATTTAACGAAACAAATAAAGCTCAAAAATATATTCAAATGGTCACAAAAGAAATTTCAGAGAAACTTAAAACTTTACCTTTTAACAAACTTGCAGGATTCAGCAACGTTTTAAAAAAAGATAATTAATAAAAATAGAAAAAAAATTAAATAGTGGTATTTAATATTGTAAATAATCATATCATAATAGTAATAATAGAATAAGGTAATAAAATCATTATTATTATCATAATTAAACCATAATCATAACAAATTAATGTTATATAAAAGTAGATATATAAATTTTAATATAAATAAAATTTACTTATAAAACCAAGATTTTTTTTTTTTTTTTTTTTTTTCTTTCTTTCACACTATCTAATAATAAATCACCATATATATATAAAGTGTGGGATTATTACTATTTTTATAAATATATAGTATTGTTGTTGTTATGGTGGTTTTTCTTTTCCACTCCATAAATTATTTTCATTAATATCATTCATTTCATTTCATTTTATTATTAATAATATACAATACACCATTTTTATATCTTTATCAAAATTAAGTTTTTTAATTTATAATTTTAGTATATATAAATATTATATATATAAAATTTAATATAAATAATAAAAGCATGTATACATAATCATTAATCAAAGTGAAATTTTTTATTTTATTTTATTATTTTTTTTTAATATATCTCACTTATATCTTTAATTTTTTTTTTATTTTTTTCTTTTTTTCTTTTTTTTTTTTTATATTAAATTTAATATTTTTTATTTTTTATTTTTTAAATTATCAAAATACACCCACACACATATATAATTTAAAATTTTTTTTTTTTATATAATTTAATTTAAATAAATAAAAAAAAGATAAAAGGTATGTGTGTATTATATATTTATATATATATTTTTAATGCCCTCTCATTCTTTTTATATAGTATATAAAAAATAACTATTAATAGGTTATAATATCCCACACAATAAAGTTTTTTTTTTAATTTTTTTTTAATTTTATAAATTTTATTCCATATTCACTCATATATTTATACATTATTAAATTAAACCAACCAAAACGAATCTTTATATTTTTTTTTAATTTTTTTATTTATTTTTTTTAAATATTATTATAAAAATTAATAGTAATCAGTTTTACTTATAAAATTTTTATAATTTTGTTTTGATTATATAATACTATCACCATCATTTTTATATATAAAAAAAATAAAAATATCTCACTCTATTTTTTTTCTATGTCATACTTTATTTTTTCAACAATAATAAAAAATTACATGTATAACTAATTGCTTTTTTTTTTTTTATATAATTTTAATTTATTTATTTGTTTATTTATTTTTTTATTTATTAATTTTTTTTTTTTATTGTTTTTTAATTTTTTTTTTTCTTCTAAATAATATTATTAAATAATTGTTATTTATTTTTATTATTTCATATTGTTTTTTTATTTTTTTTTATTTTATTTTTTTGTTTTTATTATTATAGCTCTATAATATTAAATTTTTATAGGGTTCAAAATTAATGACATGAAATCATTAAAAGATCAACCAAGTAATACAAGTACAACCACTAGAAGTAATAGTATTAGTAATAATTCTGTAACAGGAAATAATTTATATAACAACAGTAATAATAATAATAATATCATTGGTAATAATACAACCACCACTACAACTACTACAACCACAACAGCAAATAATACAAAATCAATTTCTCCTCCAACTTCACCTAAATCCCAATCTAAAAAACCAAAAAAACCATTTGGAGCACTTGTAGGATATTTTAAAGGAAGAAAAAATTCAAAAGCACATATATTTACAACTACAGATGAATTTTCACAACCAATAAGTGATGATTATAGTTATTATTATATTCCTAGTAGTGGTTTACAACAACAGGAGCAAAGGCTTATAGAGGAGAAAGAAGAAATAGGATCAGAGGATACTTCAGCTGACGTTTTAACAACCTCTAATGGTAATAGTAATAATTCAACATCTTCACCAATAACGACCAAAATCCCAAGTACTAGCGGAGAATTTTATTTAGATGACAACTCTCAACAACAATTATTAAATAAAAATGGTAGATTTAATAAGGGTGTAGTACAAACTTTACCAATAGCAGAGGTAGGGCAGTTCCCAGTTAATTTAATGCTAGGGCAGGCTAGAGCTGAACACCCAATCAACTGTATTGATGATTTAGAGTCTGATATCCAAACTAGCTCAATACCAAATAGCAAACAATTGATTAGTTCTTTAACATGTTCAACAAATTCTTCAAACTCAAGTGCTTCTATGTCGACTCCTGGAATGATTTTTAATTCATCTCTATTAAATTCACCTAATGTAAATACAAGCAACAACAGTATAAGTCTAAACAATTCAAATAATAATAATACATCAAATAATAATTTAATAAATTCAAGTCCATCAGACAGTAATAATAGTAGTTTAAATAATTCACCAAGATATTTAAGTTCAAATAATAGTCCAAGGTCTTTAAATAAATTGATTTTTAATAATACAGTAAATAATCAATCTAATCAGATTAATGATGGGGATAATAATAGTAATGGTGGTTTAAATAATAGTGGTAATAATTTATCATCAAATTGTAATAATAATTTAAGTAATAGTGGTAATAATATAGTTGGAAATAACACTACTTCAAACAATATAAGTATAGCCATTAATAATGAAGTAATAAAATAATATAAAATAATATTAATAATAAAATAATAATAACAATAATAGTAGTAATAATTATATCAATAATGGTAATAATAATAATGGGAACAATAACCATAATAACAACAATAATAATAATAACCATAATAATAATTCAAATAACTCAAGATTTAAAAATATGGAAGCTTATTTTTCAAAAAGAGAAAATTTACCAATACCATTTCCAGCTTTACAAAGTGAATTGGGTCAAATGATTGAAAACTCAAGTAATAAAGGATATGTTAGTAGTAGAGGTGGAAATAATGAAGATAAAAGAAAAAAACATGAGCAAAAAAAGAAAGAGGCTGCTTCAGCACCAGAAATGAAAGCAACACGTGATAGGTTTATGGAAACAATGAACGAACCAAATAGTTTTAGAAATTTTCAATCGTTTATGCAAAATACACTCAGTACAGAATATTTAAACTTTTTTATGGAAATTGACAGATATAAAAACATTGATGATGGAACAAAGCTAAAGTTCACCTTTGATGAAATATGGAGAAGATTTTTCGACCCAGATTCAAATACTCCTTTATATATAGAGTCATCTTTACGACGTGTTGTAGAATCACAAAGATCAAATCCAACCCACGATTCATTTAACGAAGTGTATGATGTTTTATTACATGATATAGTTTGTGACTCTTTTAAAAATTATTTAACTTCACCTTTCAATCCAGATTGGAGATTAGAAATGAATAAAAAAATGAAAACTGTAAATACTAATAATAATAATAATAATAATAATAGCAATAATATTGCAAGTACAAGTAATATAGCAAGTACAGGTAATAATAATAATACCAACACCAACACCAATAATAATAATAAAGATAGTAAAGAACATAATCATAACAACCATCATCACCAAAATAGAGAAAGATTTGATAATTATAATAAAGAGAGAAGGGAAAGAGAAAGAGAAAAAGAAAAAGAAAAAGAAAGGGAAAGAGAAAAAGAGAAATTATATGATTTAGAAAATAATCTTAGTAATCACAGTAATAGTAGTAGTGGAAGTGGAAGGGATAATATTGATAATGTAAAGAGCCCAACCACTTTTAACAATATTTTACAATCACCACAAACAGTTTCAAAAGTACATGAAATTTATTACAAAGATTCAACAAATTCTTTAGCCATCTCAATTACACTCGATAATGAAGAGGAGCCATCAATATTTCATCTAGACTCTAGTGATATGGAAAGTTTGATTGAAGAGGTTGTTAAAGATAATATTACAGTTCATACTGAAATCAACTATAATGAAGTTTCGCTACATAAATGGATTGCTTCAGGTGCATCTGGTAAAGTTTACAAGTAAGTATATATATATATTAAGATTACTAAATATAAATATTTTTTATATTCTAATATTAAAGTTTTGTTTTTTTATTTTAGTGGTCAATATAAAGGTAAAGATGTAGCAATTAAAGTTTTAGGACCTGAGGTTTGTGTTCATTTCGATTTAAACGAGTTTAAACGAGAGGTTGCGTTAATGTCAATTTTTAAACATGACAATTTGGTTAGATGTTTAGGAGCTGGTTCTTATGGTGACAATTATTTCCACATCACAGATTATTGCCATAATGGAACTTTATCAAATCATTTAAAAGATCCAAAGAATCACATCAGCAACAGTTTAAAATTACATTTTGCTTTGGGTATTGCAAAAGGAATGAGATACCTACATTCAATGTCGATCATTCATAGAGATTTAAAGACAATGAATATTCTCTTAACCAAAAGATTAAAGATTAAAATTGTAGATTTTGGAACTTCAAGAGTTGCAAATAAAAATATGACATCACATGTTGGTACTCAAGCTTGGATGGCACCAGAAATATTTACATCTAAAAGTTATACCCAAAAGGTGGATGTATACTCTTATGCAATAGGTAGGATTTTATTTTTTTATTATTTTTATTTTTTTTTGAATATTTATTAATTATTTTTAAATTATTAAATTATAGTTTTATTAGAAATATTTACAAGAAAATCAGCATATGATGATAATTCAAATATTCCATTTTTAGTTTGCAAAGGTGAAAGACCCGAAATTCCTAAAGATATACCAACTCCAATTTCAAATTTAATTAAAAAATGTTGGAGCCAAAAACCATCTCATAGACCTTCTTTCATTAAAATTGCAGCATATTTAGAAAGCATTATATATCCATCAATTTCTAATAGTTTAGGCTTAGTAGCTTCAACATCATTCTCTTCTTCAGCATTGTGGTCTGGTAAAATTTTAGCAACCCCATCATCAAAATAAATAATTTTTAACAACACCCTTATTATTTCAAATTATAAAACACATAATTTAATAATCCATAGTTACTATCTTTAAAATTAAAATAAAATAATTTTAATTTTTGTATATTTCATTTAAAAAAATTACAATGTTCAGTACATGCCCTGAAGGTTTTTTCCACCACACCGGTTTTCTTTTAATTTTTTATTATTGTTTTTTTTCCATTTAAAAATTTAATTCCTCATATTTTATTTACTAACCAATTATTATTGGTTAATGTGTAGAAAATGTTTAATACAAAAAAACCATATTTTTAATTCTCATCAAAATTTAAATAAAGTGATCAATTTATATATATACAGTGTTCTTTTAAATGGATCTCTTTTAAAGATGTAATATTTTGTAATTTTGGTTTCGAAGTTTAAAAAGTCAACAATTACACACCTCTATAGAGAATGCATTGGAACTATTATCACATAAAACATACCATGTTATTGTCTATAATAGAAAAGATATTAAAACCCAAATCACTTGTCCAATTTTATGACCAAGTCATACTTTAGCGGTATAAAAGCAATGATGTTTTTATTTTTTATTGTAAAATTATTAAAAGTTTTAAACAAGTATAAATAAAAAATGGTAGTTTTAATAGAATGGAACCTTGTGTCTTTTAATGAGCAGTGGCTTTAGGAGAGGCAGTGGGGGTGACTTTTGGGGATGGTTTGCATTTGTGGCAGCATTCATTTTCTGGTAAATATAACTCTTCCCCTTTAACACAATTAAGTTTTGGACAGTGTTCTGAATTGCATTTTACACATTCGATACAACATTCATTTTGTTTTGTGCCTGGGTGGAAACCTTCTTTACATTTGAGAACTTGGTGAGGACATGCAACAGTATTACATTTAACACATTCTTCACAACAGTTCTTTGGATCTTTTATTGGGTGGAAACCTTCCTTACATTTGAGTTCTTCATGTGGACATTTAATAGAGGAGCAATTTACACAACGTTTACAGCATTCAACAGTAGAAAAATGCTCGCCACTTGGACAACTAATTGGGGTCATTGGACAGTTGATATGGGTACAGTTTAGTTTTGGTTCTTTGGTTTGTTTTTCTTTTTCATTCTTTTCAGTTGATGATGCAAAGCTTACAACTATCATTGAAAAAATTAAAAAAATTAAAATAAAAGTAAATTTTTTTTGTAACATTTTTTTTTATAAATAAAGTATTTGATTGAATAATGAAATAAATAATTAAAATTTTTAATTTAAATAGTTTTTTTTTTTATTTATAAAAATACATTTTTTAAAATAATTGATTAAAAAACAAATTATTTACATCTTTGATCTCTTTTGTTACCACTTTCCCAACTTAGGAAAAGGTTTGAAATTTAAACTAATCGGTCAGAATTAGAACCACTAGTGGTTTTTGATTAGATTGTATTTGAAAAAAATGAAATAAATAGTTAAATAAATAGAAAAATAATTCAGACTTTAAGAAAAATAAATCAAATGATTTATATAATTAATTATTATTAAAATCTTTTAGTTTTCTTTTATAAATTTTTTTTTTTTTTTTGAATATATTTAGGTTTTTTAATCATAAATTAAAAAAATAAAAATTTGATTTGGATTCAAATAATTTTTTTAAATTTTATTATAATTTAAAAAAAAAATTTTATTTTTAATATTATAAAATTAAAAAAATTGGGAAAATTTTTTATTTTTTATTTTTTATTTTTTTTATCAGATTTTTAATTTGTTATGTGTATTGAAAAATAATAATGCCTAAAAATATAAATAGAGTTATAAAAAACTCTCTAACAAATAATAATAATAATAACAATCGACTTACTTTAAATAAACAAACTTTTTTAAACAATATTTTAAATAACTCTCAGATCTCAAGGGATCATCACAGAGTTTTAATTAACCAAACTATAAATTTTATCAAAGAAAATAAAGAACAAAAGGAAAATATTATTTCCCATCTAATCGAAAGTTTAAAAAAAATTTTAACAGTATCGAATAGCGAAGAAGTAGATAATTTCTTTAAATTTTTAATAGATTTTTCAATTATTTACTACAATTATCAAAAATCACAACTAGGTTTATTAATTGACACATACAGCCATACCAACTCTGAAGTTTCAAATCAATACAGAAGCTTTCTTTATTTATTAATTGAAAATGTAATGGTATTCTCACAAATTAATGACTTTGGTATAAGATCAAGATCAATTTATTTTTTAAATTTAATAATCCATAATAAAAAAACTTTACCACTATTAGAGTAAGTTATTATAATAATATAAATAAAAATAAAAAATTTTTATTTATTCTAACTCTTTTTTTTTTTATTAGCAAAAAAAAAATAAATATAGTTTTAAAATTTTTAAAAAAAAAAATAAAAGATAAAAATAATATTAAATGTTACTCAATTAAATCAATTTTAAAAATCATTAAATTTTTACAACAAGATATATTCATAGATGATAGTGATTCTCAGCAAGAAAGCAGCGATAATACTGAAGAAATTGAAGGATATAAAAAGAAAATAAAAGAATATTCTGAACTTGTTGTTTCTATTTTAGATACTGACGAATCAAACGAGGTTCGAAAAACTATTTTACAAAACTTGACAATTAATAAAGAAAACTATAGAATATTTATTTTAAGATTAGTAGATAAATGTGAAGCCATCAGCAAGCAATGTGCATTATCAATTTCAACAATAAATCCACTCGAAAACTTTTCTAAACAGGATATCAATGATATCGTTTTAAATGGATTAGAGTCAAGATTTTCAGCAACTAAAAAAGAGACAAAGTTAATGATTTGTGGTTCCTGGATGAAGAGTTATTTTGAAAATGACTTGGAGAAACTGGTCAAATTCTTGCACAATGATCAAAAGCAAGATGAATCAATCATTAGCAAAATATTATTTACCCTTTTTTCCGATGGCCAATCACCCGATACATTTTCATTCAAGAATTCAATTTTATTGTATAAACCAATTACTGATGAATTCTCACTAATCTATAAACTTTTTTTCCAATTTCTTTCTAATGAAAAACAAGAAATTCAAGATTATTTACCACCAATTTCAAACTATATATATTATTTTCAACAAGTAGAAGAGTTTTATGGTTGCTCAATTTTTGAACAAATAGAAAAAGAAAACAATAATACTTTAATAACTAATAGTGATGGCGCAAATAGTATCCATAGAGACAAAATTAGTACAGAAAATTTAAATTTAAAAGATCAGCCATTCGTTTTTCTTCAATTAATCACGATTTTAAACTATTACTCAAACGAAGTTAAATTTGCATTATTCAAAACATTTCATTTAGAAAGGCACTTTATTCGTAAGTACAATATTTTAAAATATATAGTAAGTTTCAAATTATATACTAATTATATAATTTTTTTATAGAAATTATTATATCATTAAACTATTCAATTGAAATTAAAGATATAATAATTAATATATTAAGAAACTCTTTAAATTCAAAATATTTTTATGATACTATTTTAAACTGTATTTCAAAGATATTAGGTACTCCAGTTATTAATAATATCAACTATAGTGAAATTAAAATAAAATGTCAATTGCATTCACTTTCGATAATATCAAATGTTTTAAAAAACACAAGCAAAAAACAAGAGGAAGAAAATATAATTTATTTAATTGGCTTCATTAATGAATTATTAGATAGCGAATCAAAAGAAGTTAAAGAAAAAGCACTGGAGTGCTATGGTTTTTATTGTTTATTAGATTCGATTGGTGGTAGCTTTCAAGGAAAACTATTTAATGCTTTGGTAGAAGGTTCAACATCAATGAAAACCAAAATGCTATCGTTCTGCTTTGATATTTTGTTATTAAAATACCATTATTTAGACGTTGATAGTTGTATCAAAATGCCAGCGAATTGTTTTGACAAAGAAATTTCAAAATTACTTTTCGTTTTATCACAATCAATCATAAACCCCTCTTTTATTTTAGAAAAAGAAATTAAAGATATTTTCATTGAAGGTGTTTCAAAATTATTTATTTCAAATATTATAAATACCCCATCAGTAAGTAATTTAAAGAAATAATAAACAAAGTTAAAATAATTAGAATTAACCGTTTGAATTTTTATTTAGATATTTTATAATATTATGGTTTTCTTTTTTAAAAAAGAAAAAGAATCAGAAAATTCCTATCAAATATTAAATCAATTTTTCAAAGTTTTCCCATCATCCTCTTTAAAATCTTTTAAACTATTTTTGAAATCATTCACACCAACAATCAATTTTTTTTTATTTTCAAATGGTACTGTAGACCCAAAAATTATCGAAGCAATTATTTATTTTTATCACACAAGCCTCACCAAAATACAAGAAAACCATAGCTCAATTAGTGCCAATGACTATAAAAATAAATTATTAAAAAATTATTTAAAAAGTTTAATTATTTATTTAAAAAGTAAGTAATAATACACCAATATCCAAAAACAATATAATTTAAATACTAATCTCTTTTTTAAAGCAAATGAAAAAAATCAAATTAATTTAATTTCAAATATTTTAAATAAGTTTGAAATTCAAGAAATAGATACAATCGATTTCAAAAAAATTAGAGCATTATTATTAATTTTGGATGACTGTTCAATTAAAAAAAATCTTTTAGGAACAATACAAATAATTAAAAATACAATGGAGTATACAATTTCAACTTTTACAGGTTATCAAGACCTCGATCCCCAAAAGATTGAAGAGATTAGAGAAGAAATTGAAGACTTTTGTTCTCAAAGACTTGAAGATTTAGAAAAATCCTCGTTTGAGGCAAATCCAAGTAGTCAAGATCCATTTAACTATATCAGTCCAATTAATGATGAAACCATTGATGATTTAGATAATAGTGATGAAGAAAATCAAATAACTAGTCAAGAAATTTTACCATTAAATAACTCACCAGACTTTAATAATAAGAATAATATAGATAATATAGATAATATAGATAATATAGATAATATAGATAATAAAAATAATAATACCAACGAAAACGAAAATAATATTCAATCACAAAACTCTAATTCCTCATCTTTAATTAATAACTTTAACTCAGATACCGAATTTAATGAAAATAGTGATGAAGAAGAGGAAGATGATGTTCAATTCGATACCGATAATAATAACCAAACCAATATAGATAATAAAAACAAAAATAAAAACTGTATAATAATGTAGAATAGAAAAATGTAAACTAAAAAAAAATAAATGTAAATTTTAAAATAAATCTAAAATAAAATAAAAACTATTTCATATTAAATTTTATTTTTTATTAGTTTTTAAATCTTTTAAATAATTTTGGAAACCTTCATTTTTGGAAACTCTATTTAAATATCTATCTAAATCTTCTTCTGGGTTGTTTTGATCAACTATTTCATCTTCTAAGTCTTCTAATTCTTCGAAGCCATCACCCAAGTTTTGTAAATCGTTTAATCTTTCATTGAAAGTAACATCTTCATCGTCTTCTAAACCATCTAATAAATCTAAAATAGAATCTTCATCATCTTTGGTGTCATTTTCTTTAGTTTTTGATGGTTTTGAATCTTTATCGATATGTTTTTGAATTTTTTCAAACTCCTCTAAACCAATACTTGAAATAATTTTCTCTTCATCATAACCACAATTATTTGCTACTTCCATGAATCTTACAAGACTTTGATGCGAAATTGTTCCTTCGCTAGTGTTATTGTTATTGGTTAAATTACTTGAGTCTGTGATTTCGTCATAACTTTCTTTATATACATAATCTTCATCTGTAAAAGCTTCACTGTCTTCATCGTCAGTTTCTTCATCTTCATCGCTATCTTCATCGTCTTCCTCACTATCCTCTTCGTCTTCACTATCTTCTTCACTATCTTCTTCGTCCTCATCACCATCTTCTTCACCATCGTCGTCTTCTAATTTAACATCTTCTTCATCTAATTCTACTTCATCATCATCAAATATTGAAAAATCTTCTGATACATCAAATTCTTTTAAATAATCTTCATTTAAATCTTCTGGTATTATTAAATTTCCATCTTTATCTTTTGGTAAAACTTCTTTTCTTTCTTTAATTTCTTTTAAACCTTTGTTTAATTTTTTTAACTTTTCCTCTGTTACTCTAATTAGTTCTTTATCATCTTCTTCTGCATCTTCTAAAGTAGTGTTGAAAAACTCCTCTGGGTTATCTTGTTTTAAAATTGTTTTTAAAGTTGGAACTAGTGTTTTGAATTTTAAGTCGATGATTTCAGTTTCTTCTTTTGACATTGTATCTATTAATGATTCCATCTTTTCAATATATTTATCTAACATTTCATCTTCTTCGTTATTATCATCAATTAAATCCTCTGCCAAGTATTTACCCCACTTATCAATAGCACCTTGACTAACTGGTTCTCCTCTTGAGTCTATTGGTGTAATAATTTTACCATCTTCCCAAACGACTCTTTCTGGTACACCTGAATGTTTATTGATAAGACGCTCTTCTCTATCTACAATCTTTTCAGCCTCTAGTTCTGAAAGTTTCTTTGTGGCATCATAAAATATATCATCAAAGCTATTTAAAATACTACCAAGTGGGTGGTTTGTTGAATATATCTTTTCACCCTTTTCTTTCATTTCTTCTAATTCTTCCTCTAACTTTAAATTCAAGTACTCTTCTTTGGCCGATATATTCGAATCTACTAAATTTTCTCTATCACCTTCATCTTCATCACCTTTATCGTATTCAAAAAACTCATCTTCATCTTCCTCTTCGTCCAATTCTTCAAAATCTCTTTCTCCAAAATTCTTTTCCATTAAACTACTTTCTTTACCTTTTTCAAATTCCATTTGTTCTTTTCCTTCTAATAGTATTAAATCTTGAACACCAAATTCTTTTTCCCTATATTTATACTTGATTGGTTCATCTTCATCTTCTTCATCATCTTCGTCTTCTTCGTCCTCTTTATCCTGATCTTCAAAATCTTGATTTTTTTCGTTATTGTTTAAAAATTGACTTTTTTTACTTCGAACTGTTAAATTACCATCTTCATCATACTCAATAATATCACCATCTTCATCTTCTTCTTTTTCTTCATCATCTTCAAAATCTTTATGATCTAATTCTAATTGAGGATATTGGTGTTTTATTTGCTCTACCATTTGAAATTTTATTTCATTTTGAACTTTTTCAGCAATATGTTTAAATTCTTCAGTTTTACCCATTGCATTTGTAATTGTATCACCATACTTTTTGAAGATTTTCTCTACCTCTAATGTACGACCCATTTCGTTTAATACTTTAATTAATGAAATACCAATTTCAATATTGACTGGATGATCCAAAGGATATATTTTGCTTAACATTTCGTGAGCCCTCATTAAAAATGGCTCTGCCTCTTCAAACTTATCTCCATCCAAAAGATATTCGGAATAATTGCTATAGAAAATACCCAATGTTTCATCTTTTGACCAATTTCTTTTTGCATTTGCTAAACCATATTTCTCTGCGTACTCTTTCCAGCAAACCTCTAAAACATCAATGGATTGTTGGGATTTTACCAAAGCTTCGTCAACTCTATCTAATCTACCAAGTGATTCTGCTGAGTTACCCAATAAAACTGCAAAGTCACGTAAATCAATTTTAGACTTGTATGATGATGAAAATAAAATTTTAATATAAAAAAGTGCCTTGTTAAATGATTCTAAAGCTTGTTCCCAATTTTGACTTTCTTGATGTTCGTATCCAACTGCTGATAATGCTTTTGCCAACTTTAAATATTTATCTAATGTTTCTTTTGATTCGACTGTTGGTTGACCTGGTGGTATTATAAAATCTAAATTTGTAGTGGTTTCGAATGGTAAATGTCTTGGTTTAAAAGGTTTTATATTATCGGGATTAACATAATTAAAATTAAAACCCTCATTATTTAAAATATTATTATTATTATCCTTATTATTGTTATTATTATTATTATCTATATTATTTAATTTTCCTTTTTTTAAATTATTCATAATTTGCTTGTTTTTTAAAAATCTATTTCCAACTGAATAAAACTCTATTTAAAAAAAATTTAATAAAAAAAGTTAATACAAATTTTTAAATTTTTAAAAATAATGAAAAATTTACTTTTATTAAAATTATTGAAACTATTGTTACTAAATAATATTATATTATTATTATTTAAATGACCACTAATACTATATACTGTATCATCATTATAACTATTATTACTATTTATTTGATTTATTGATAAATTTAAATTTTTTTTAAAAAATATTAAATTATAAAAATCATTGTTTGGTTTTTTTAAAAAATTTTTAGGTGTTATATTTGTTACATTATTTAGATGATTTGTTTTTTTAATATATTTTAAGCAATCTAAAAACTTTATATTATTGCTCATATTATTAGTAATTGTTTCAAAAATGACATTAAAATAAAAAATAAAATTAAAAAAAAAAAAAAGTAAAAAATGAAAAAAAAAAAAAAAAACGAAAAAAAAAAAAAAAAATTAATAAAATAATTTGATTTGTTTAATTTTAAACTTTATTTAAATATTGTTTAAAATGAAAATTCATTTTAAACCTTAACAACTTCAAAATATAATTTAATCATGAATAAATTATAACAAACAACAAAAAGTTATAATAACAATTTAATATTTATAATTAATTTAATTATAATAATAATCAATATTAAATTTATAATTAAAATAATCAATACCAAATAAAATAATAATCAAAATTAAATTAAAAACAATTATAATAATAACAATAAAAATGTTAATATTATTTTTTTTTTTTTTTTTTTTTTTTTTTTATTATTATAATCAATCATTAAAAAATATCAAAGAAATGTTATTTTCGAAAAATCAATATTGTGATATTGTATATAAACTACGATGGCCAAAAATGTTAGATTATATTATTTTATATTTTTTTATATTTTTTTTTTCTTTATTAAATAAGAAAAATCAAAAACCCTTTATTTGATATTTTTTAAAAAAAAAAATTTGTAAGTTCAAAAAATCCCGAGCTTTATTATATTAACTTTTAATACTTGTAAAGAATCTAATACTTTGATTTAGCTTGATTTAAAAAAAATATAAAAAGAAGAAAAAAAAAAAAATAATCATTAAAAAATAAAACTATTGATAAATAAATAAATAATAAACAAATTTATATAATAAATAATTAAATAGAAATAATGAAATTACTTTTAAAATTAATTTTTGTATTTATCTTCATTAAATGTATTTTAGCACAAGGTCCATATGATACTTTGGAAGAATGTCAATCAATCTGTAAAGATAACAATGCTTGTACCACCCAAAACTGTGTTTGGTATTATGGGTGGTTCTGTTCTTCCAATACCAATACCTGCAGTGATGATTCAATTTGCACCAATGATTACTGTGACCCTGTAAACGGAACCTGTCATCATACTCCAGCATTTTCATGTGATGATAATGATCCATGCACTTTAGACACATGTCATTTCACACTTGGTTGTATTCATATTACTCAAGCATGTAATGTTGTTGTACCCTGTAATAAAACTAGTGACTGCTTCAGAGGCCGTAATTGTGAAACCTATACCTGTAAATCTAGCCATACTTGTGAGTACCAAGCCAAACCATGCTCAGCTGAACAACCTTGTATTGAACCATTAGGAGTCTGTGTTGGTAACCCAACTAATTAATTTATACATTACAATATCCTCCATATTGTTTTGGCTAGATCACAAAAAAAAGATTTTTTATACTATCTTTTATATATTTTTTTATATCATAAAATTTGTAAAAATATAAAAGAAATAAATGTTTGTAATATTTTATAAATGAAATATTTAAATTTTTTTTTTTTTTTTGATTTATTTAATTCTTTTTTTGGTAGGATTTGAACATATAATTTTATTATTTTATAATAATTTTTTTTTTGATAATTTGATTAAAAATTTCAATATTTTGTGAAACCAACTAAAGTTTTAATATATCATCAATTCTTTAATTTATAAAAAGTATTATTTTATATGATGTTAACACCTGACGGTTTTTTCTGTGTATAAAGGAGGTCCAATTATCTCACTAAAGCTTCGATCACCATTACCTCATCAGAACCGTTTAAAATACATTATTTTTTTTTTAATTTTTTTTTTTTAATTTCATTATCATATCATAAACTACCAAATTCTTACTTTATTCCTTTTCTGTTATACTTTATAAAATTAAATTATAATAAAAGAATATAATTGTATAAATGAAATATAAAAAAGGAGATGTGTTTAATTTATTTGAAAAATAAAAAAAATTAAAAAAAATAACATCCCCCACTTTAATATTATTTTTTTTAAAAAATTAAATTTAATTTTTTTTAAAAATTTTTTTATTGGATGGTGTTTCAAATGATTACCAATTTTGATTGCAGCAGATTTACATTTTTTTGTACAATACAAGGTTTACTTATTTGGATTTGATCTTTTAAATAAATTAGGAAATAGTTATAGATTAATTAATTTTGAATTATATTTTTTTTTTTTATAATTTTTATTAAAAAAACTAAAAAGTATTTAAAAAAAATAATTTCATAAAATTTATTTTCATTATACAAATTCAATTAAATTCAAGTGGATTGGATCATTTAAGAATATCAAGTTTTATTTTATAATAACTATAAGGTAATTATTTTATTGAATCAAAATAATTATTTTGGATTATTAAAGCATATCAAGTATTGTGTAACATTCAAGAATATCATATAATAGATCATTAAAAACTATCAAGTATTGTTTAGCATTTAAAATATATCAAATATTATGGATAATTAAAAATATCAAGAATTTTTTAGCATATAAAAATAAAACTATCAAGTATTGTGTATCATTCAAAGCATATCAAATATTATTTAACAATAAAACATATCAATGATTATTTTGCATTAAAACACAATCAGGACTTATTGGCATTTAATTATTAAAATTCAACTAATATTTTTTTATTTATTATGATAATTTTATAAACTTATTATCATTATACACATTCAAGAATATACAAGTGGATTGGATCATTCAATTATATCAAAATTTATAATGATTATAAGGTAATTATTTTATTGGATCATAAAATAATATCAACTATTGTGTAACATTCAAGAATATAATATATAATGGATCATTAAAAATTATCAATTATTGTGTAACATTCAAAATATATTAAATATTATGGATCAATTAAATATAAAGTATTGTGTATCATTAAAAATATCAAATATTATATAGCATATAAATATCAAGGATTATTTAGGATTAAAAATATTAAGTATTATATAGCATTTAAACATATTAGGTATTATTTGGCATTTAAAAATTTCAAGAATTATATCATTCAAAAACATCAAATATAATTTAGCATTTATTATAAAATATCAAGGATTATTTAATGAAAATATCAAGTATTATTTAACATTTAAACATATAAAATATTATTTAAAATTAAAAACATCAAGTATTATACATCTTTAAAAAATATCAAATACTATGTAACATTCAAAATTTCAAGTACTATGGATCATAATATCAACTCTCAATAGGTATTTTGGTTACACAGATACTGAGTTGGGCCCTCTTGGTATCTATGGTTTTGAAATTTACCTAATTTTCAATATGGTGGTTAATTATGTATTCTGCGTGGTGGTATACAGAATTAACCACAAATTTTCAATATGGTGTTTAATTATTTATACTGCCTGAAGGTATAAATAATTAACCATTCTGCACTAATATACTAACATCCTTTTTTTTTTTTTTTTTTTTTTTTAAAAGTGAAGATAATAAAAAGCAAATGCTTTAAATTAATCAGTAAAAATACTAACATCCCGGGGTAGAGTTGGAAACACTCTTTACAAAGAGTGGCTAATAGTATAAATTTAAAAATTTTTTTTTTTTTTTTTTTTTTTTTTTTTTTTTAAATGTGAAGATAATTAAAAGCAAATGCTTTAAATTAATCAGTAAATTTTATTTAATGTTTTTATTTAAAAAGTGTGGGGCTTTGTAAATTTTTTAGAACATATGATCACCTGGAAGATTTATGTTAAAATTAAAAAGGAGTATTCCGAGCGGGAATCGAACCCACGACCCTTACCGTGTAAAGGTAATGTGATAACCAACTACACCATCGAAACTGCCTATATGATTATTTTTAATTCGGTTCCACTATTTATTTCTTTAGAAATTTTTGCATTAATTTCTTAACCCAAACTACCTTATAATAAAAATAATTATCTTTGAGTTTGGATATTTTATTCAAATTAATATAATATTATAATTTTTATAAAAAAATAAAAATTTTGTATTTTTATAGGTGTTATTTTCAAAATTCATAAAACAATTTTTTAAATAAAAATTTTTTTTCATTTTAAAATTTTTATTGATTACCAAAAATTTTTGAAAAAAAATTTTGTTTTTTACAAAAAAAATTAAATTTTTAAAATATTATTTTCTTCAAAAGCAAGGGAGATTTGAGCTCCCGAAAATTGAAGAAATTATAAATAAATTTTATTAATAATTTTTCTTCTTTTTTTTTTTTTTCTTTAAATTTTTTTTTTTCTCATCAAAACTTTTTTTTTTAATTTTTATTTAAATAATTTTAATTTTAATTTTAAGTTATAAATAATATAAAATGAGGGTATACAGTATTGGTTCTCTTTTAATTTTTATGGGTGTTTGGGCATTATTATTTGTTTCATTTACAAACCCATGGTATCATTATGTAGAAAACTACACTTTTTCTGGTGATACATTTAGAAACTACCAAGCAGATTTTTATCCAACACATGTAAAAGTGATATCAAGTAATTTAACAACTGATCGTAATTACAGGTAAATATTCAATTTTATTTATTTTTTAATTATTTTAATAGTTGTATTAATTTATTTTATTTTTAATAATAAATAAATAAAAAAAAAAAAAGTTATAAAGAAATTATCCAAACTGATTTTTGGACCACTAAAATTCCACTTAATTTTACAAGATATGTTAAATCAAGTTTTTCATTTGCAGTTTTAGGATGGGCTGTTGCAACAGGTTTAATTGTCTTAACATTTTTTGATATGAATGAAACTGAAAAAAAATGGGTTGGTTTACTCGGTAAAATATTGGGATTCGTTGTATTTGTATTTACACTTTTATCATTTTCACTCTATGTCGTATTTAAAATTAAATTAAATGACGATTGTAAATCAATATACGGTTCCTCATCACAATTTAATTGTGATCTTAATGGATCGGAATCAAACCATGGTTTTTTCAATGGTAAATTTTTTGGATCTACTAAAATGGCATATTGGGGTGGATCAAGTGGATGGCGTTGCGTTGTTACTGCTTGCAGTCTCTCATTAGCAGGCTCAATATATAATATTTTTCTTTTCCACAAAAAAAAATAAATTATAAAAAATTATTATTTAAAATTTTATTTATTATTTACTATTTTCTATTTATTTTATTTATTTTATTTATTTAATTTATTTATTAAATATTTAAAATAAATTTTTATTTATAATTTACTATTTATTTTATTTATTTATTTTATTTTATTAAATATTTAAAATAAAAAATAAAAAATAAAAAAAGAAAATTAAAACATAAAAAATAAACTAAAATAATAAATCTATTTTTATTATAAATAAATAAAAAAAAAAATCAATTTTTGTGTAATATCAAAAACTGCACAAAAGAAATAAAAATTATTATCAGTTCTTTGAATTAATCAGACACCACACATTTACGTTTATATTTAATTATTTTTTATTTTTTTATTTTTTAATTTTTAATTTAATTTTCCCCCTTTTTTTTTTTTTTCCCCTTTAAAAAAATTTTTCAAAAAAATTTTTTAAAATTTTTAAGGTTTTTTTTTTTTTTTCAAAAAAAAATTTTTTTTTTTCCCCACCCTTTTAAATTATTTTTTAATAAAAAAAAACACCCCAAAAAAA